CTAAACGGCCGACAAGGGGGGGGGGGGGGGGGGGGGGGTTGTACTCAATAGTCGTGCATGCCGGAGTGGTTAGACCATTGAACATCCCTACAAAGACGGGATAGAGCACGCCAGGTTCTCACCGGACCAGGCTCTCATATCACCATGCGCGAAGCGCCGTGAGGTATTCGGCGAGTCGCATGAAGAGTGCGCTGCATCCTGCTGAGGGTGTTCGGCATCTTGTGCTTACTTCCTTGCGTACGGATGACAGCTGCGCACGTATGACTCAATTTATTTTCTGGTGCTTTCACTTCCAGAGACAATTGTAAGCACTGTGTAACTGCCTCGAGGGTGCTTGGCGATTTTAACACAACGTGGTGCGATCATCCCCCTTACGCGGAGTGATGGTTCTCGACCCCGCACAACATGATCTACTCGACCACCATTCAAGGTTACCCGCAAATGTGAGTCTCTCGTGTAGCTGTACGTATGTCCTACTCGAGGTCCCCTGTCCAACTGTTCCTCCGCTTGCTCTGCGGATCTTTCCGTGCGGTCCGCGCGCACCCGTATGTCACTGTATGCACATACCCGCGTACCACATATATACACTCAACCGCCCAGATGGTTGTTTATCGTCTCACGCCCAGGGAGATTCCCCGGTAGCGTGTCAGTGCTGCACCACGTCAGCACGCCAGCACAGACTGTGTCTGTGTCACCGCCTAGTCAGGTCGGTTCTGCGTCATCAGGGCTGCCTCTTCACCCCTCCTCTGTCACTCTTCTTCTTTCCCTCTCTTCCTAGAGACCACACCGTTGGTTCCTCCTAGAGAACTACTCCTGTCCCGCAAGTCTGTGCACTAGCGGCTCCCCACCGTCGCTCCGGAAGTCTCCTCTGGTCACACAGTCGAGAGAAGGTTCAACCCTTTCCGTCGGTCTGAGATAGGTCACCCTTACAAAAAAAAAAAAAGGAAACAAAAAACCCGGTAACCTGGTTGCCGAGCTCACGAAGTGATCGGCTTATTTTACAACGTCGTTGCCAAGCGACGAAAACCCAACCCCGATGGCAAACACCGGGGGGGCGATGGGCGAGGGCAAAATAAGTATGGAGTTTGAATGGGAAGTTACGACACCTAACCACGGTAGTGCGGGCAGGAAAGTAAATCGTGTGGCGGCTTGGGTTTGTCACGGGGCCTGCAGATAACGATCAACACGCGTCGGCGGTCATGAAAGAATCTACCGTGATTTCTGGGTGAGGAGTTTTACGCGGATTTGGAGTGATGGGAGGTGGGCGGCGCGCCAACGCTCATTGGCGGAGGGTGTTCTCTGTATTCCCCGTATTACGATCATGCGCAATGGGAGCCGACGCGGCCTTGGTTGCTACGCTCGAAGCTATACCGGGGTATTGCAGCGAGCAGGGGGGTGGTGGAGGTACGATCTGTCTCAAGAGGAGAATTGTCGCTCTTCCGATACTGCTACTTGTTCTCGGCAGAATATGCTGTCCATCAATCTCTTGCAAGCATTGCCGATGGTTATCAACGTGCACGTGATGATCGTCGTACTCAACGACTGGCCCGTCCTAATCGAGGAACTTGCTCCTTTCGCGGTGATAAACCTCCGCTGTGACATGGGTAAACCAGTGTGGGGGCACCCGGGAGCCACGCGCCGCGTTTATGATGAGATGGCTGGGCGTGTTGTAGATGACGGGGGGGTGGTGTCTCGAAGCGGCACACATCCCTGGTAGTAGAACGTTTCGGAGGACGGACTTTCGCGGTGGGCACACGAGGATATCCCTCGCAAACGAACTGAGCTGTCTCCTCCCCCTCATGTGAGTTGGCAGGAGGTCAGGCTGGGGAATTCATGTGGGATGGCATGTGAGGCTGAGCCTGCCCTTCAACTCCAAAATTCATTCCTCACATGGTACACTTCCATACATACGAGTTCCGACGAGCTGAGTTTTTAGTACAATATGAACTGCTGTTGGCATCGAGGACAGCCGACATCACGCACGCCCGTTCGCCATTGCGGTATACCAACCCACGCTGAATACCGCTAGGTCCACTCGCAGGCAGACAAATGACTGCGTCGAGGGTTCCACTGTGCACATATTGCTAAATGCAGGCATACCTGACATGCTGTCACCTCTCTCTTTGGGGTCGATATCTTGAACATCTTGGGTATGGTCCCAGAGAGCTGCCAAGCGAACCGAGATCGCCAACAGAGGTAGAAGCAGGCAGCCAAACAGAGAAGGGCCAAAGTGAATAGATTCAGCAAATATAGGGGTTTTGTCGAAGCGTAAGGTCGTGGAAAGGCTCGGGATACAGAAAGCAAAGTAGGTCAGAATCAAGATCGCATCATCGACGGGACTGTGGCCATAAGCCCACCGCGAAACCTGAGACTGCTGTATTGGCTATTCCTGATTCAAAACGAAAAACGACATGGCCGTTGATCGAAGCTCCAGCATGTGCGTGGCCGTTTACTTCTAGTCAGTCGTGTGGGGGCACCCGCCTCTGCTCCTTGTCGAATTTCGATTTCTTTTATTCCTAGGCGATGAAATATGGTGAGGCATATCAATCATTCATTTATTCAGCTGAAACGGGAAAGCAGATCTTGCATTCGTTAAACCCTCCGGGGACCGTTTCGGTCGCTTAGGTGACAAGAAAATGAAGGGCAGCCAGCTTGCACGCATCTCGGAATAAGGGCGCCACCACTCAAGGAGACGCTCACACGGCATAGCTAATACTTTCCTAGTTACAATGCCCCTGTTGCGTGCCGTCTCATGCTCTGGCTGTCTCATTCTTTAGGCGAAATCTCCGAGTACCTGTGCGGCTTGAAGAAGCTGACGTTTCTTCCGGCGAAAATGAGTTCACGGGATGGATCAAACCCACCTATTGTCTTGCACAAAAACTGTTTTCCCATGCGAAAGTGGAAATTCAAAACGAGGGACCCACTTTGGACGCTTCCATACAAGAATTGTCCCGGTGTACACTAGCGTGTCAAAAACAATTGTCTGCGTCGGCAGGACCATTGTTCTAGAAGCTGTGTCGCCCGAAAAATCATATTTTTAGGTTATCCCCGCTTACTTCGTATTCGCTCATTCTCTTGCAGGCTTCATCACCAGAGCTTGGAGCTCTCAAGAACCTATGGACGCTACAGCTCTCCATCGACAACCTCACCGGTACCTTTTTATTACGGTTGATACCCACTGGTTCTATGGATGAACGACGCCGATGCGTACACAGGATTCATCTGCACATACGGCAACTTCACAGAAGAATGTTGGAATTGTGCGATATGGGCCCTAGGGACTCACCGCTCAACTCGTTCCCGATGAGGTATAGCCCTAGCAGTGCCGTGAGTTTTCCCAGCTCCGCCGGGATGGTGCCTGCCAGACGAAAGGGAATAAGAAGTTAGCGGGGGAAAACAAAATAAATCCCCCGGCGTCAAGAAAAACGGTCCTGCCAACGCGTGCGCGGGATTCACCTTGAATCCAGATCGACCCTTTTTCGGTTCCTCACCTGTGAGCCGGTTTCCTCCGAGCAAAAGACTTTTCAGCTTACTCAGCGCTCCCAGCTCCTTGGGAATGAGTCCTGTACAAAAGACATAGCAGGGGAAATTAGGTAGAGCAAAAGATATCCCGCGAGTTCCGCAATTTCGTACTCGCCTACGCATGGGCAGGACACATGCATATGTTGCAGAATATACAAAAAAGAAAGGATTCAAATTTCAACACCTCTCTCACCGCTGAGCTGGTTGTAGGACAGGTCGAGCCACGTTACACTGTTGAGAGCGCCGAGCTGAGCGGGGATCGCACCTGCGTAGATATCGAAGTAGTTAGAGTTGCGGTGCGGTGTCTTCGATTCTAGAACATCGGACGCGTAGCAAAAGATGTCCCGCGAGTTCCGCAATTGTGAAATTTCGTACTCGCCTGCGTGATTAGTTGTTCTCAAAAGCGGGGACTTGTATTGTTTTTTCCCTGATCATCTCATTTTGCTCTTCTGCTTGCAGGCCCCATCCCACTGGAGCTTGGAGATCTCCGAGAGCTGCGGGAGCTGTGGCTCTACAACAACAAGCTCACAGGTAAGCTTATTATTTTGGCAGTCGTTTCAATATATTGTTAGCCTTGATTCTGGATGAACCTCGCTGATGCGTAGGCGAGTACGAAATTCACAATTGCGGAACTCGCGGGACATCTTTGCTACACGTGTGGGTGAATAGGCGGAGAAGCATTTAGTCAATTCTCTGTTTTTCTCGTATTGCTCTCCTGCTTGCAGGTCCTATCCCTCCGGAGCTAGGGAAGCTTGGCGCCTCGAAGAGACTCGATCTCAGCAACAACAAGTTAGATGGTGAGTCCAGGAGATGAAATCCATTTTATTTACTATTATGTTGACACAAGGTACATGAATCTCGCCGACGCATCGGCAGGATTCATGCATACACCACTTCTTCAGAAGTCGAAACAAAGTTCCTGAACTCACCCTCTAAAGAGTTGCTAGCGAGGTAGAGGTTCTCCAAGGCGCGCAGATTCCCTAGCTGTGGTGGGATGTGCCCTGTAGATAACGCAGCAAGTCAAAAGAACAAACCAAGGAAAGTATCGAATTTCGAATTGTTCTTGATGTTCGATCTCCGGAGATGCTGTTCCGCCCACTAGTGGGTGGGAAAAGATCTACGGAGATCGAATATCCCGAAAAAAAGAGAGCCGGGTGATCTATTTCTATATCCCCCGCCAATGTGTTACTCTTCTGCAGGTGCGATTCCGGCGCAGCTCGGCGCTCTAAATAAGCTCACGCTGCTCGACCTGTCCTACAACAAGCTTAGCGGTTAGAGAGCGGTAAGAGACTGATGAAATTTGATACTTTTTTTTCTCGAACATATTTATGTGTCCATTCGCGAGTAGGTAGTCTAGAAGCCGGGGGATTGTTGTTTTTTGTCCCGTGTCACGAACTGCTCTACAGCAACAACCTTACAGGTACCACGAGTTTTTAGAAATGAAACCGGGTTCCATGGATGAATCCCGCGTATGCATCGGCGAGATTCATGCGGCGTGCGTGTCGTTCTTGAAAAAGTCGAAATAATATTTCACGTTCGATCTCCGGGACTCACCATCTAACTCGTTGCTGGACAGGTTGAGCCACGTGAGCTTAGTGAGAGCGCCGAGCTGCGTCGGGATCGCACCTGTAGAAGAGTATTACATGTTTGCGGGGGAAATAAAAAACCACCCGCCTCTCCATTTTGAAGACGACTGATCTCCGAAGATCTTGTCCCGCCAACTAGTTGGCGTCCACTCACTGGTCTAGAAGCCGGGGCATTATTTTTGTGTTGACCCGCAACCATGACTCCGTTTTCCTTCTTCCACTTACAGGTCCCATTCCACCGGCGCTGGGAAAGCTCGCAGCGCTTCAAGATCTATACCTCTACGGGAAAAAAAATCCCATGAATTTTCAACATGAATCCCGTGTACGCGTGCGCAGGATTCACCTTGAATCCAGATCGACCCTTTTTCGGTTCCTCACCTGTGAGCCCGTTTTTTCCGAGCCGAAGGTCTTTCAGCTTACTCAGCGCTCCCAGCTCCTTGGGAATGGGTCCTGTACAAAAGACATAGCCGGCGAATTAGGTAGAGCAAAAGATATCCCGCGAGTTCTGAAATTTCGTACTCGCCTGCGCATCGGCGAGATTCATCCATTGATAAAAAAATTAAACCGACCATCAAAATAAATTAGGTACCTGTGAGGTGGTTGTCGCTGAGCCACAGCCTCTGCAGCTGTCGGAGATCTCCTAGCTCTGGCGGGATGTTGCCTGCCAGATGAAGGGAAAACAAGAAGTTGGCGGGAGAAAACAAAATTAATCCCTCGGCGTCTAGAAAAACGGTCCTGCCAACGCGTAGCAAAAGATGTCCCGCGAGTTCCGCAATTGTGAAATTTCCGTAGGCGAGATTCATGTACGTTGTGTCAACAAAAAAGTAAATAAAATGGATTTCATCTCCTGGACTCACCATCTAACTTGTTGATGCTGAGATCGAGTGCCTTCAAGGCGCCAAGCTTCCCTAGCTCCGGAGGGATAGGACCTGCAAGCAGGAGAGCAATACGAGAAAAAGAGAGACTTGACTAAATGCTTCTCCGCCTACTCACCCACGCGTAGCAAAAGATGTCCCGCGAGTCCCGCCATTGTGAAATTTCGTACTCACCTACGCGTTGGCAGGACCGTTTTTCTTGACGCCGGGGGATTTATTTTGTTTTCCCCGGCTAACTTCTTATTCCCTTTCGTCTGGCAGGCACCATCCCGGCGGAGCTGGAAAACCTCACGGCACTGCTAGAGCTATACCTCAACGGGAACGAGCTGAGCGGTGAGTCCCTAGAGCCCATATCGCACAATTCCAACATTCTTCTGTGAAGTTGCCGTATGCGCAGATGAATCCTGTGCACGCATCGGCGGGATTCATCTTGGAAACTTGAACTAAATCACTTACCAGTTAGTTTGTTCACCCCAAGGTCGAGGTACTCCAGTACGGCGAGCCGTCCAAGCTCCACGGGGATGGGGCCTGCAATCGAAAGAGACAAAACGAAACACAAATACCCATAATGTAGCGGGAAGAATCAAAGCTAAATGCCCCGGCTTCTAGAAACACTCACCCATGCAACGCGTAGCAAAAGATGTCCCGCGAGCCCCGCAATTTTGAAATTTCGTACTCGCCCAAGCGTTGGAAGGACCAATGGTTTAGAAAATCCGCCATACCTTTGGAAACTGACAAATATAAAAATAATCACGTTGACACCTCACGGCGTGGGTGAGTAGGTGAAGGTTTTCGAAAGCAGGGATTTTTTTTATTTTCCCGCTGACTCATCATTACTCTTCTGCTTGCAGGCCGCATCCCGCCGGAGCTAGAAAAGCTGGAGGCACTGGAGACGCTCAGACTTTCGGGCAACCAGCTAAGCGGTGGGTGGCAAAAAACGAAAATCTGCAACAAAGAGGCGGGCATATGAAAATGACTACATTGGTAAAGTCCGAAGCTTCTCGACCTTGTGTTCTGCCTACGCGTAGCAAAAGATGTCCCGCGAGTTCCGCAATTGTGAAATTTCATACTCGCCTACGCGTTGGCAGGACACAGAAGCAAAGATAAGATATATTATGTGTTATGTCTTCTATAGAACAACGCAAAGATTCATTTTGGCACATTTCTCACCAGTGAGCTTGTTGTCCTGAAGAGCCAGGGACGTCAGGTTTGCTAGAGCTCCCAGCTCCTTGGGTATTGGCCCTGGACAAAGCAAAATAAGCACAGCGGGGAAAAACCAGAAGTAAACATGTGTGTGATGAAGCTTCTAGAACAGTGGTCCTGCCAACGCATCGGCGAGATTCATCCATGGATCAATGCTAGAAAATTTTAAGCCGACCATCAAAATAAAATAGGTGTACCTGTGAGGTGGTTGTCGCTGAGGCACAGCCTCTGCAGCTGTCGGAGATCTCCTGGCTCTGGCGGGATGTTGCCTGCCAGACGGAGGGAAAATAAGAAGTTGGCGGGAGAAAACAAAATTAATCCCCCGGCGTCTAGAAAAACGGTCCCGCCAGCGCGTAGCAACAGATGTCCCGCGAGTTCCGCAATTGTGAAATTTCGTACTCGCCTACGCGTTGACGAGTAGGTGCGTTCTAGAAAAATGTCAGTTGTTCTCCGGAATTCCAGCAACAACATGCCCGTGCTTACTCCATACCACAGGACGCATCCCGCTGCAGCTAGGAAATCTTGGCGCCTTGTGGGACCTCGACCTCAGCGGCAAAAATTTAGATGGTGAGCCCACGAGTGAACAGCATCTTAGTTCTGTATCATCAAAGTACAAAACCTCGCCGACACGTGGACGGGACCGCTATATTTGTCGCAACCTGTAATTTCTCGCTTTCAGTTGTAGCGCTGTGGTGACCTGGGCAGAGCCGATGCTAAAAGAGCCGGAGGACCTCACGGACCTGAAGGAGCTCGTGTTGCGCAACAGCAACCTTATAGGTAAGAGACAGTGAATTTTTTTGTGTCTCCTCTGTATCTCGGGCGGTTCACCGCTCTGGAATGCATGTCCTGCACATGCTGACGGGATACGTGTTCTATGTGGAAGTACAGTAGCGGTCCCTGTTTAGTGCCGGTTGCCGGTACAGTGCCGGTGTTTTCGGCTCGCACACATTAAAATACCAAGTCGTTCTGTACTTGGAATAGTGCCGGTGTCCGGTTTAGTGCGGGTGGAATTTCGGCGCACCCTGGCGCTAAACAGGGACCTACTGCTGTATGTTTTCTCTCTAGAGGAAAGCACGCGCAAGCAGCAAATGCCGAAGAACTCCTGTAAACCTTGTAGGTTGTTCGACGACAGGTGAAGCCCGACCACTCGGCCTTGGTCGTTGACTTCAGCTCCATCCCATGTCGCTAGGACAGCATCTGTGTCCCATTTGTCTCTTCGCTTCCATCCAGCCCCGCCGGTCGAACGAAACAGGGCAATCAGTGCTTCGCGATCCGTGGATGCCATTGCTCAGGGAACCTTCACGGAGTTGATTTGGCGACACGGCGACACGGCTAGTTTCGATCCCGAAAACACCACTTCAACCCGCCTGCGATTTGGAGTCAGTCAAGTCACCTCCTAATTAGCAATTATTACAGGGAATGCGAGAGATTGAAAAGAGCTGCGCGAGAGAAGCTCTACATACTTCGAAAATGCGTTTCCCGCGTTCCCGCAGATGTGGTTGGGGGATTTTGTTTTTTTGCTGGTCGCAGATTTGGACAAAGAGCGAGGACGGATGGCGTGCATGTAAACGCTCACACAGAGCGCTTGTCGGTAATTGGAAGGGAAAATAATAAGCGCAGCTGGCCGCGGCATTGTTTGCAGAGGAATAAACACCTGAGCACCTCGACCATAAGGAAATTTACTATAGTACTACTACTACGTATGATACAATGTACTTACCCGAGGCAGGCAAGGGTGCGAAGAGCGAAGAACAAAGAAACAAGGGAAAACGACACAACAGGGTGTATGTCCCCTGTTCGAAAAGCGACACACCCGTGGGTACACAGTCATTAACAACAGTAAATGCACTCATATGACTGGTCAGCGCCCTATTTCACCCCGGTGCGTCCGAAAAGGTGCAGGGTATACCCTGCTGTGACTACTTTTCTCAACAACTGTACCCTGTTTTCGGAAATGTACCCTGACCTGACGGGAAATGAGCCCCTTTCATCAAACATTTCCCCCGCAGGAATATTCCCAACTCCTTTTTCCCTCCAACCATGGGATACCAAACGGTAAATCTTCCCGCCGAATATCAACCATGGCGACGGGGCAGGAATCAGTTTCCGCTCCTGCGAAACAACGCCAACCATCAACTCCTCCGCTCTAAATCAACAATGGCCGGGCCAGCACAATTGTTCCGTTTGGAAACATGCACACACGCGAACAATACCCCGTGGACTACTGCTTGCTGCAGTCTATATGCAAGATGCACGGGTCACGCTATGAAAGCGAGACCGATCCAGCATGGTTGACATGCATATGCATGTGCCAATGTGTGGCGCTGTGCTGGCGGCGAGCTCGCGCCCGCAGAGAGGGTGGAGGAGAGAGGCAGGACCAGCACACACAGACACGCCCTTGACATCAATCATGCACACACAAGTCTTATCCTTACTCTAGCAGCAGGACACGGCTGTGTCGTGCAACTCAGTCACCCTCCCTGTCGGTAGAGAGGATAAAGAGTGCTCGCGTTGTATTTCATCGGCTGTATTTCATCGGCTCATCCTGCTGAAGCCTGACGTCTCCTTACAACATTGATTGATTGGTCGGCTTGGTTGGCTGGTAAGCGTGACCGCTGCTGCTACAGCAGTAGTTGAAGCAAGAAACACATCGCAATTGACACAACAGACAACACACGCACGCACACACACATGCATATGCATGTCAACCATGGCGGATCGGTCTCGCTTTCACAGCGTGACCCGTGCGTCTCGCATATAGACTGCAGCAAGCAGTGGTCCACGGGTTTTGTTCGCGTGTGTGCATGTTTCCAAACGGAACAATTGTGCTGGCCCGGCCATTGTTGATTTAGAGCGGAGGAGTTGATGGTTGGCGTTGTTTCGCAGGAGCGGAAACTGATTCCTGCCCCGTCGCCATGGTTGATATTCGGCGGGAAGATTTACCGTTTGGTATCCCATGGTTGGAGGGGAAAAGGAGTTGGGAATATTCCTGCGGGGGAAATGTTTGATGAAAGGGGCTCATTTCCCGTCAGGTCAGGGTACATTTCCGAAAACAGGGTACAGTTGTTGAGAAAAGTAGTCACGGCAGGCGCCTTTTCGGACGCACCGGGGTGAAATAGGGCGCTGACCAATCATATGAGTGCATTTACTGTTGTTAATGACTGTGTACCCACGGGTGTGTCGCTTTTCGACCAGGGGACATACACCCTGTTGTGTCGTTTTCCCAAGAAACAACTTGGAACTCACCGACGAAATAATAAAACACGGGTCGCAGCAAGTCGCAGGGGCAAGTGTGGTATCTCGCTCGCAGTATCACGCTCCTCGCGTTCATCAATGTCACCACTCGAAGACTTTGAACCCAGAGCTCCGGTAACTCCTCCCCTTGTTTGTTGTTTGATGCCGTCCCAATCTACACAGCACAAGCAGTACCTCCTTGTCTGAAATGCGGGCAACCCCTTGAACTGCCATTTTTTTCCGTCTACCTTTCGGAGGTGGGTGTGGGTATCATCAACGATGCCATCTGCGAGCCCCCTCAGAGGGCTTTTTCCCTCTTTCCCTACCCTCTTGCCCGCCCTCTCCTCACTCCAAAGTGTGCGTGTGCGTGTGGCGGCAGGTAAAAGGGTGGACTGGTTGGGACTGGTTGCTCGCGCCGCGTGGTTGAGGTTGTAAGGAGTTTACTTCATCAGCAGCAGCACATGATGACTCTTCGGTGCTGAATCCCCCCGCATCTCTCTCTCGGGGGTCGATCCAACCAAACCTGCGATGTGCGACACAGAGGTCTTCGGGAACCTCGGTGCTTTCTGTGGCATGCATGGTGGGCCGAATGGTATAGCTGGCTGGGGGAGGTGTCGCTTTTAGGTGAGCGGTCAGTGATGAGCGACAGCAGGGCGACAGCAGGTGTGTCGCGTCGCGAATGTGGATGATTCTAAACCGTCGATTCACCTACCGCTTTCCACTATTTGTGTGTAGCCGGTCGCCCCGGTGGTCTAGTTGGTATCCTCGAAACCTTCCAGAGGTCAGGTCAGGGGTTCGAATCCCGGCGTAAGCGAGCTTTTCTTGCGAAGTGAGTTTTTCTCTCGCTTCCGCTCCTGGCCTAGTGATTAGCGCTAGTTCGTGTGTACACAGAAAGAGAGTGCTGAACTCTTCTCGCATTTAAAATCGAAGGCAAAGTACCGCAGGAGGGGAGGGAAGAGAGGGGCTCCTCTGTGTGACCACGGGTCGGAGTAAACGGCACTAGTGCTGTGAGCGCTGATTTGAAGTGTATATAATACAATACAGCAGTACAGCAGTACACAAGTGCATTACCTCATTACGTCCGCTGGGGATGCTACACTGATGGTCGATGGATGATACCCCCGCTTGCACAGCTAGCTACCGGCCGGGGAGAGGAGGACCCGGGACAAGTTGTCGAAACCGGACGAACTGCTGTACAGGGCTTATGCTGCTGTAGTTCAAGTATATGTAAAGTTGTGTAACTGCTGCGGTACAGCAGTTGTACTATATGCACAGGCATCCACCTAGGATGAACGGGGTTTTGTTCTTAAATTCATAGGTAGTTCTACGCCGACTGCCCATGCAGAGGACACAGGTCGTTCTGCGCGGATTTGAACGCGACACTTAAAGAGCAGCGTGTTTAGCACCAGCAGAAAACACATGCTTTTCGAGGTACCTCTCAGGATCGAACGCCCCGCAGCTTCCGCGATCACTACTGCTGTACAGTAGAAGGGCGGACTCTGCATCGCCGTGGAATCAGAGGCATCAGACCAACATTCAACCACTTACTGTAGTGGTCCACAAAGGGTAGCGTTGGGCGTGCATGTCCTCCCCGCTCTACTAACTCCCGTCGTAGCTGTACTGTTGATAGCCGGATCTTCTCGCTTCTCTGGGATGGCAGGACCTCCCCCCTCCTCTACGGTGTTCCCCTCCAGCAACACCCACGACCCTAACACCGCATCCGGGTCTCCATGACGCTGTAAATCGCTAACGGCAGCTTCATGCTGTGTATGCTTTGTTCTAGCTCGAAATGCGCACTGCAGTCGTAAAGGTAGCGGGTACGCTGCTGAGGCTGCCTAGTCATCAGCCCACCAAACTAACCTATACCTTACCTAACGAGTACTCCACGACGGTGCAGTAACGAATTGTCGAGAGCAGCGGGCGTAGATGCTTGAATGCGAAAACCGTCCGGAATCTCCATGCCGTGAATCGCATCGTCTGGGTTCATGCTATCGTCGTCGTCCAGCAGAATCAAATCGTCGTTCTGGCCGCGGTCCCGCAATGACATGTTTGAACGCCTCGTAATGTCAATCAGAGTGACACCTCTTCCATTCAACTTTGAAAGTTGTTCGAGCTCCCCAAGTGTCCAATGGGTAAGACATGGTCCCCCTGCATGCACACAGCATGCACACAGCGTGGCACGCACAAGCAATGTCACGAAGCGGGGGTACAAATCGGGCGCCCCCCTCGATTGGCCATCGGTGATCGGTCCTGTGGGAACAATGCTCCGTCCTCTCGAGGACGCGTGGTCAATGGTCTAACCGCTAAGGCATGCAAAACATAAGAGTACGCCCCCCGCCCCCTCTCCGGGCGTCCTCTCGAGGACGCGTGGTCAGTGGTCAATGGTCTAACCGCTAAGGCATGCACAACAAGAGTACGCCCTCCCACCTCCCCCCCTCCGCGCGTACAAGCACTGTTTCACGGGGTGCCCCCTCACCCCCGGCCCCGAATCTGAAACTAGCTGCTGTGTTGGAAGTCACCCCCCACCTCCGTTCATGCTTATCTTGCAGCCGCCGTATTTTGGGGCTTTTGGTACAAAACATATGTTGCGTCTCTAGCCAGCGTCCATAGATAGGGCCGGGAGTACGAGTAGACGCTCACCACATAGACTACATACAGCAGCAGCGTGCATAGTGTCATGTAGACACTAAAGACTATACTGATGATGCTCTGATGCTGTAGGGTAGGCGTGAAGAAGCAGCCAGTATAGCGATAGACAGGTACGGCGGTAGCAAAAATTGACATTCAAGCGAAAAAATACGATGCTGCATACAACAAGTCGAGTGGATGTGTGTGCAAAGGGAAGCACGATGATGACCATGACCACTTAGAGTCTCGGCGAATTCCGCATGTAAGTACTTGGGCAAAAGCCTCGGCAACAAAGCCGCGCGCCGACTGTTCGCAACACAAGTCTGCCGGTTGTGTTTTTAGAACACTTCATTGGTTCGTTCGTCGTAGCCAACCACGCACGCACGCACGTTCAAAGGAAAGCGGACCTCGGATTGGTGGCAGCCCTGCTTGAGCAGGGCAACTTATGATATATTGCTTGTTCTTGACAGGAACTCCATGGAGCACCTGAGTAGCACGTGAATTCGTACCAAGCACATGTCACAAATGTTGAGTTTTTCTCGTGCGCAAGTACAGACAGCCGATGTCGCGCCTCTCCAACACCACATGGTGCGAGATACTGTCGCCTGCACACCAGTAACCCCAACCTCTATGGTGATGCCTCCACCCCCCGCCCAACCCACCATATAGGAGCTGGAGCGGATGTGGGCCTTCTATCGGAACGAGAGTGACATGTGTGCCTCCAAGCTTTCCGACCCTCCACGACACGTCCACCTCCCTTCGGCACCAGCTCCACCGGGAGCTGGGCGGGATGGGGGGTGCATCTGGAGACCTTTGTTCCACCTCGGCGGGCGGCACCGGCATTGGTCATCAGGGCGGCGGTGGCGGTAACAAGAGTAGCAGCCGTGGTGGTGGCGGCGACGGCCCTGGCGTACCACGACGACGACGAGGGCTCTCCTGGATGGCCCAGACCTGCAGTACAGCAACCCGGTCGTTCGACTGGTGGGGTGCTGCGTCCGACCCCTCAGGTGGGATTGGGTTGGGTTGTGTGTTGGATGTCTTATATTTGAGGAGATTGGTAGACGACAATAGGGTACAGCCTCGACGTGACGGATGTACCTGCGCAAGGAGGTAAAATATGTAGCGTTGTGTGTGTTATACTAGCTTGTTGCACACAATCGCGTCTACACGCGGACCGACTGTGTTTGCCTATCCCGTCCGCCCCCCCCCCGTCCCCACTTCAGCATCTGCCCTACGTTGGCGTGGGTACCCCCCCTCCCCAGCGCGCGCTCGTCTCAACGAATGGTTTTCTGTGATCACTGCTGTCAACCAGCTGGTCGTTTTGGACCGTTTCGCCACACCGCCGACTCAAGCTTTGAACACCTGACTGAACGACCGCAAACCAGGAACACTTTGTCGTGGGCTGGAGTGGCGGCGGCGGCGGCAGCAGCGGCGGCAACAGCAGCAGCACCGGGGCCACGAGAATCCGCGGGCGCAGGTCAGCCTCGAGCGCGATGGCGGGCACCACGTCATCTTCACAGCGAGGACTGGAACGGGGGGGGTTCCGGCTGGGGTCCGTCCTCCTCGACAACCCCTGGCCCTTCTCTGCGGCAGGTGGTGGTGGTGGCAACGTGGAGAGCGGCATGGGCTTCATCGGCAACAGCAGCGGCCACGAAATCTTGACATGACCACGGAAGACCCGTACGTGCGGCCCTCCCTCAAGAGAGCCGTCGTCGAGCTGTACGACACCTGCCACCGGCTTCTGTCCTTCAAGGTGGACGAAGCCAGGGTTGCTTGTTGCTGCTTGCGCTGGTTGCTGCACCATCGACGGCGCGTTATACTTGTCGAGGCGGTATGAGGCTCCAAACCGTGAGAGACCCGCATCTACGTACGTATCATTGCACAGCAATCTACAGCAGCACATATCTTACTGCACACATCCTACAGCAGTAATGCTCTGTATTTCAACATCAACAACCGGCTACGACCGGACTTGTGACTGTAGGTAGTAGCGGAACGCCTAACTTCTGCTGCTCTTGCTTCTCGGGGTACGCCTTCCTAGCAGATGCTATCCTCGTGGCGGCGAACGCCGTTGTGGAGAAAATGTCTTCGGACGAGGAATTCAGGTGAGATAGATTAAATGCTTTGGTGTACATGTATAGTTTTTGTGTCGTCCAATACATTATTTTCGTTGTCGGTGCATGTTTTTATTGTGATCAGAGTTGTTTCGGATTTTGTTCAACGATTATCTCTAACAGCAGTCAATACACATTGACTACGGTCCAACGGTTCCAGCTTTAGCGTATTGTACACCACTGTTCGAGGAATGCTCCTAGTCTTGTGTGGTACTTGAAACGAGAACATGCACAAGCACGTGCGATATAGAAGTATGAAAAGCACTTTTTTCGTGAATAGGCACTAGGAACGGACCTATCAACGTCTGCAAAGGCATCTAGCATGTTAACATGAGCGCGTCGCGACCGATGTGCGCAAACGTATTTTGTGGTGCGTTCCTGGCCGCATCAAACGGTTTTGATGAAACATATACCGGGTGCTTGCGTGCTCTGTTTGCTCCTCCGGTATAGTGACGGGCAGTCAGCCCATCACACCGTTCATTGTGAACAACGGCAGACGTGAGGACAGTTCACGAAATACGCGTTACAAGACGTCATATCGAGTGCCGGGGAAGCCTACACCATCGCGGCTGCGCGTCTTACCAGCGAAGAGCTTGTCGATCTGTACCGTCTACTCCAGCTCCCCCTGGGTGTGCAACTCCATCGACATACAAAATGTAGTTCAAGTCGCATTCCCAAACATACCTGGAAAATGCAGGTAACTTAGAGTATGTTTGCACAAGCCCTTGACCGTTTCAATCCCTGTAGTTGCTCAGTACCCCGGTGTACTTCTTTCAATGCCCTGCTCTTCGCTTTTTGGGCCTATTTGATGCCCCGTGCGTTGTAGGGAGCATACAGCGAGGTTCATGAATGAATATGAGGACAGTCGGTATAGTCGGGACAGTCGGTATAGTGGGGACAGTCGGTATAGTCGGGACAGTCGGGGACGTCGGGAAAGCGGAACGAAAAATGGCAAGGGCACCATACAAGACTCGGAGTTTGCCACACAAACGGGAGAAGGATTGAAGCTTTTCATCATAATTGACCAGGTGAGGAAAGCGACGTCTTCCTCACCTGGCCACTCTTCCTCACCTGGCCAATTACGTCTTCCTCACCAATTATGATGAAAAGGACTTCCTGACGTGGCCAATTATGATAAAACGCTCCAAACGTTCTCCCGTTTATGTGGCGAACTCCGACAGAAGGTTTGGAGCTTTTCATCATAAAAAATGCCTTTTTGATGAAAGGACCAAAACTTTCTCCCGTTTGTATGGCAAACTCCGAGTCTTGGATCTTGCCCATGCCATTTTTCGTTCCGCTTTCCCGACGTCCCCGACGGTCCCGACTATACCGACTGTCCTCAGATTCATTAATGAACCTCGCTGCATGCTCCCTACAAAACACGGGATATCAAATAAGTCCAAAAAGCGAAGAGCAGAGCACTAAAAGAAGTCAGTACAATATGCAGATAACACGAGCTGGATGGTCGGACTGTCTTTGCCTAAGGTCTAACTGCCAAATTGATGGACCAGGTCCTCTTGCGCTCTGTTGATGAACCCTTTGAGCTCACTATTCTGCCTCGATCTCTGGCGCATCGGGGCGCAAATCCATTCAAGCGTTTACTGTTCCGTACGGTTGAACAAGATTGCAATTCGTCGGGTTACACATATAGAGCATATTGGGAAGATGTTCCCTCCCGTGCGTCGTTTGTGGCCGAACTTGGACCCCACGAACATACGCGTCGATTGGGACGCGGCAGAACCTGATTGCTTTCCATATGGCCGTCGGCCTGACGGGTACAACCATTCAATTTCCCGGTCGGTGGGCCAACCATTTGATGACTTCTACATGACTGCTCACAATGAGGTCTGTGGGACTGCGCCACAAAATATAGCTACCACGATGCGTCTATTGCTCGCTTGTGGCTTGTCTCTTGACGCCTATGTGAATGCGTGCACCGGAGGATATCTGCTCCTGGTAATTGACCCCCCGCGTACGCTTGGCCTGGCATACGGCCACATGCTTGATCCTTGTAAGAAGTTGCTGTAGGGAAAGCATCGCCACCACGGACAAAGCGTGACCCACCGCCTCCGCCCCCTTTCTCTCGACCTTGTTGACGTTGTCGCGAAGGCATCAAGATACAAGTTTTCCTACACCAAAGTCATTCTTCGCGCTCAGAGTGCACATGAGGACGCAGCACGATAGTCGAGATACGATGTCAGCGAAGCAGCGGCATCTGCAGTTGCTGCTCCATCACGGGCTGGTGCTAAAACTGCAAGTGTCGGCATCAACAGCGGCACCGGCAGCACCAGTCGCAGAGATGCCCGAGGAGGAAGGTGGGTGCACAGACCGTCTGAGTCGATGGTGTTCATCATGCTGAGGAACCGGAGACTCGTATCACGGCCGTGCCTGGCTTGCTTCAGGTTAGTCCAACGTGTCAAGGGTGACACCAACAAGTCGTCGATGTCGTCAACGTCAAGCCGTGTTCGGCGTGGACTATGAAAGGCAGATTCTCTAGATTTTCCGACGTTCGGCTCGTAAATTACTTGATTGTGGCCAGGAGCGCTTGGTGTTTACCCTGTACAAGTGAGACACATAACGACCTTTCAGGTGCAGAGTATCTCAAAAATGTTTTTGGCTTGTTGTCCAGATCAGTGTTCGACCTGAAACATTTCCGAGAGATTTTTTACGAAATTTCCGAGAAAGTTCTTCAAGCGTTAGTCATCAGAGAAGCGCTCTTGTAGACCAGTCAAAGAGTGTCTACAGTAGTGTATCGAACGTGGGGAGAAATCGAAAACGCAACAGAACTCGCCGTGAACGGTTGTGCATGAAGACGGGCGCTATTGCCATGGATTTTTTGTTATTTTTTGTGTCCGGACCAAAGCACCCCCGTCTCGAGGAACATGGTATCTGTATGATGACGAGAGTAAGGGGGATACGTGCATGGTCATAGATTGGCGTGAGTGTAGACGCTTGCGAGACGCGATATATCTAGCGAATACTGAAACAGGTCGAGAAAATCGCGACTGAAAATCTTTGGAAAACAACACGGACCCCTCGCGAATCATGCTCATGGTTACAACGCGAAGGCTGCGGTGGTTGACCAACCCCCCAGGGACCTTCATGCATGCCAAAAGGAACCTACTGTATTGAACACTTTCCATGGCCTCTAACGCAACGTACGTGGCTGGAACAGCTTCCGTTGTTGCTCGGAAACCGGTTGTACGGAGTAACTTGTCCGGCCTGGCCGTTGTTTGACCCCACTGCTGTTGCTCGCGCTTCTTGCGTTCCCCTCTCTTTCTTGGTCGTCTGGTGAGTGCAGCAATCAAGGTTCTGAGGTGACACGATCGGCCTAGGAGAGCGGGGTAGCGGCCGCCAGACCAAATAGAGGAGGAGAGTCCTCCACCAGCGTCGCGAACGAAGTGCATGGCAACCTACCCAATGTGAGGTCAGTGTGGGACACACATCTGTTGGTACTGTCCAACGGCCTAGATACGTGTCCAAAGAAACGCTTAAGCCTGCCCATTGATCGTCCCAACCAGCAAGCGTACTTGTATGGCACCTATTTGAACGCGAGAGAAATCCGGGCTTGCGTCCGGGGCTCAATCCGATTGGTTGTTGTTGTGCGCCTTCTCATCTGTTGGTCCTTTCTATTGAACGAGCTACCCGGTTGAGTTGATTGAAGGGGCTGCGGACTCCGCATAAAGCTCGTGAGCGTTTTTCGTGTGAAAATGCACTCGCGCTTGCTTGTGCGATACTATCAAATTGGACACACCACCGTGCACGAGGCGTACCGTACTATCCGTCGAGAACGCCCCCTCTCATGTGAACGCCCCCCGACAAAAACAAATACGGCTGGGGTAGCACAGACACGTCAAAGTTGACCCGCGGTTTGTGTCATAGACCCGACATTCTTGGGTCAGCGCTGTGGTTTGTGTACCGGTGCCTCACACCAGAAAAGTGGGACTACACCACCGAAGACGTTTCGTCCAGGGACCCTACTACATTTGTTTGAAAATATCGTTACGCTACCTTTGAGAACGGCACGGAGTGATTTTTTTGCCAAAGAACAAGACCGCGTCCCGAGGCGTTCTCAAATGATACTACGGTGTAAATGTCCCACGCGTGTACGACTCCTCCGCCGCCCCAACATCCCAATCCCTCTAACCACGGCCGCTCTGTGGCGAATTCACCGTGGCATTCAGGCGTGCCTTCGATGGCCAAGACATTATGTCGTACCTTGCAGAGTTGGTGGATCATGACCAGTACCTGCTCATCGCTCCGGTGTCAAAGGCGTTCAGGCGCGCGTGGGGGCCTCGAGCTACGATAACCCGCCCGGTGATGGCCGACATGTCCATCACGCAGCTTAGGTACTGCTTGAAGCTCGGCCTGCCCTTGGGCATCCGGCGAACAAGCATCTGCAACGCCGCTGCCCGCTTCGGCAAGCTGGGCGTCCTTGAGCTTGCGAAAGAGTCTCTTGCGGGTGGACCCGGCGACTTGTGCTTAGGCCTCCAGGGGGGGACACCTTGGGATCCTCAAATGGCTTCGCGCGCAGGGCTGTGGCTGGGATGAAGTAGCATACGGTTGCCCCCGTCGGATGCCATTCCCGGGTCCTGGAATGGGCGCTGCCACCAACCGAAAACTGGCCGTCGGGGATGGAGGGCCCGAATGCGTGCCCTTGGGACGAACGGGCGTGCGCCGGTGCTGCCCTAGGCGGGTGTCACGATATTCTGGTGTGGCTTCCGAAATACAGCTGCCCTTAGGATGAAACGACATGCGCATCGGCCGCACGTCGCGGAGACTTCGACGGTCTCTTGTCGGCTTTTTCTGAAGGATGCCGTTCGACAAGGAATCCTGTTTCTGGGCCGCTCGCAGAGGAGATGTGCGCATGCTTAAATTCCGGGATCACGACTGTCCTTGGGATTTAGTAGATGACGGGTGCCCATGGCCGGGGCTGCATGTGGCGGCCATCTTGAAGTCCTAAAGTGGGCGAGCAGGAATGGATGTCCATGGGACGAGCGGACTCGTACGGGGGCAGCAAAAGGCGGGCATATTCAAGTTTTGCAGTGGGCAAGAGAGAATAGGTGCGCGTGGGACAGCGACACTTGCGCGGGGGCTCCCTGGGGACAGCACCTTGATATTTTGCGCTGGGCAAGAACGAACGGCTGTCCGTGGGATAAACGGGCTTGCTCGATTGCGGCCAAACGCGGGAACCCTCTCAACAGTCTGCAATGGCTGCGTAGAAACGGTTGTCCTTGGGATAGTGACACTGCACGCAGGCAGCCGCGGGTGGGCACCTTGGATTTTTGACTTGGGCCCTAGCCGATGATTGCGCATGGGACTGGCGCCTTTCCCACGCGACAGATGCCAACGGTTTTGGTTACATTCGTCACTGGGTGGAGAGTCACGTTTGGGGGGCACTCGCAAGCCACCATTCAGCTCGATATCGACTTGTGAAGCTAAATAGGCGAAGTGTGTCGAATGCGTTAGATAGACACAACGCGGGGCACTCGCACGTTCAGCTCGACATCAACTTGTGAAGTGTGTCGAATGCATTAGATAGACAGAACGTTGCCACCGTTCAGCTCGACATCAACTTGTGAACTTATGTAGGCGAAGTGTGTCGAATGCGTTAGATAGACACAACGTTGTACAACTGCTGTAGCAGACTCTGTATTTGTACGCTTGGTTTGGTGTTGTGGTGCTAGTGTTGGGGTTGCCAGCGGGTTGAGTTCCGACATCGTGTGGGTCAGCGTGTTAACGCTGTGTTGTGTTGGACAGCAGGTGCATCACATCAGACGAGAAACTACGCCCCGGGGGCCTTTTCGCTCGCGTTTTTTTTTGTTGTAGAAAGATCGCCCCTCTCCATGTTTAAGAGTACACATACAAGCTGGGCCAGCCAAGACGGCTACAAAATGGTTGAAAACGATTTACACCACGATTTTTACGAGTTAGAATCTGAAATTTTGACACGTGGTCGGTGTTAGTATAACGAAGACCTTGACTGGCCGTACTTTTTTTTTTTTTTTTCACGAGGTAGCCCTATTAAAGGGAAAATGGCGTCTTGATTGGTCGCGATAGGAGGACTAAAAAAAAAAAAAAAAGTACGGCCAGTCAAGGTTTTCGTTATACTAACACCGACCACGTGTCACAATTTCAGATTCCAACTCGTAAAAATCGTGGTGTAAATAGAAAATTGCTTACTGGCCTCTACACCTGGGCGCAGGGACAAAAATATATATAGGGATATACAGGAAAATGTTGTATTGTAGAGGATATTTTACGAGGCCATAACTTTCGATGGAAGATGACCTGAGCCTTGTAACTACCATCATTGTTCTCGCAATGCTCCCAGGTAAGTGCACACCAAATTTCGGCTTAATCTGTAAAAACGTTTTTTATACTGATTTCAGCACCGGAAGCATCCCCCACTACACCGCCAATTGAGCATTTAATACCCAATCAACTCAGATTCGAAAAATTCTGGCACCGGCGCATCCTCTATTGTCTTCTAAGAGTAGGCACAAAATTTCAAGCCAAAACTCGTGGAATTGGCAGCGTGAGACGCGAAACAACGAAAGTGAGCTTCTTGGCTGGCCCAGCTTGTAGCGTGACTTCGTGCTGTTTGTTGCTTCTGTGCGGGTCTTTCCACCGCCGTGTGGTGCACGAGAATGTTGTGCTTTGGACACCCCCATCTACAGGTAGATTCTGGCGATAAGGCAACATGAACTCGCCAACGAGAAACAGCAAGTTGATTCCGTTCCTTCGCCGTGGGAAGAACATGATGTTCCACCCCTGCGAAGTAACGCCTCGGATTCATGTCGTACCCCCCAAAAGGGCAAACAGTTTTTGTGACTACAAAAGAGGTGCTGCTACAAAACCGCATCGCCGCTGTGCGCTGCGCTGCCAGACCTGGCACTGATTGACTGGTCGCCGAGTGCAGACAACGGTAGCGGTGCCAACAACAAACCCATTTAACGATTGTATAAGGGCCACCTGCAGGGATTAGTTGGCGACCCATCCTCGGCGCACTGTGGTGCAGCACAAAACGGTGGTCCGATGGAGCAACATGATCCCGCAGGCAAGCAAGTTTGCCGCCGTTTCGCACGTACGGCAGTATGAAAATAGCTTCGTGTCGAGTGATCGAGGAATGATGTAGGCTGCCACGTACACCCTCCCGCCTGAGAGATTGCTTCCAGATCATGACAGTGTTGTCTGTAGTAATCCTTCGGTGCTCCAGTGATTCTGCCGCCGCCGTCGGTGCTGTTTCTGAAAAGTACTTCGTTGCTGCTGCTGCTGCTGCTGCTGCTGCTGTGCTACTTATAGAGTACTGCTGCACATGAATAGCAGTGTCGACACACAATGTCATGTCCAGACATGTTTCCACCTCCCAACCTCTGACCCTGAGCGTCAAAGCAACTGATATGCAGGAGGAAAGTGATGACAGCAACGTTTATTACACCCTTTGCACCTAGCCTATGTATGTATAGAGTACTCTTGAAGGGGTTCCAGAACACAGCAGCACGGTAGTTGAGCTATGCATGCAGCAAAGAACGACTGTTGATGTAGACTACACAGCAGTACAAAGAGTAATTTTGAAAAACGCAAGAGCACTACAATAACGCACAAGAGACACACAAGACCAGTCGGAAGGCATCGCGAAAAACAGAAATCGTTGATTCTCGCACAGGGCGGCAGTAGAGGCTCCTCAAACACAATTTCACGCGTCTACCTCGGCACGCATCCTTTGAAATCAAGATATAAATCACACTACGCTACATTCAAGTCAAGAGAGCCAAAACGGCAGGCAGGCGCTCCAATAAGGTCTGTGTTGCCAGGAACCTGGTGCATAGTACTTTGAAGTATATCTCTAGAGGGCATCCTTTAGCAGCGGGGGGTGCGCGTTGGCGCTCTCAAATTTGCTCCTTTCTGTGGTGGCGATATCGAGGGTCGTACAGCAGTAGCAGTAGTGGCCTACAATCTCCGCAAATCTCCGCAAATTAGACCGACACCCAGTATCTTGTACTGCTTGTGCTCGCTGTCACTGACCCCAATCTCCTGCACTGCGGGTTTACAGCAGTAGCTGATGCCACTAGCTACTGCGCTGGCAACCTCCGTTCAGGGGTTTACGGTCCGTGGCGGTGAGCACGCCTGTGACAAATGTTGGATGCCACTTGGTTCTGGCACAGATTTCGGACTGTTTTCAGAGACTGCTGCGACCTTCGATATTTCAGCTCCAGCACAGAAGCAAACCTGAACGTGCCAGCACGCACCACGCCTCTTGATGGTGTCCTCTACTGCTACTAGTACGAAGTACCAGGTTCCTCCGGCGGGAAGGTTGTTTTCTTCCTTATGTTAGATTAAAGTATGAGAAAAGAACTAGCGTCAATACCCCTGTTCTGGAACCCCTCAAGTTTTAGGCGAGAGAATGTGGAGTCTACTGGTAAGTATTACATGTTTTAGGAGAGAGAATGGAGGGTCGTAGTCTGTGTTGGTTCCTGGTTCCCCCCGGTTCCGCCGCGGGGAACCAACCAAGGTGGCGGGACAGAGTTCACTTGGCCAATCAGCTGTCACTATTCACTTGGCGCCTTTTTAGCGTCTTGTCAATTTTCGAGTAGTTTTGACAATTACACCGGCTTTCGAACCAGTCAGTTCAGGCCGCCTCTTCAACCGACAGGGAGCTGCAACTGGCGCATATCACACGCCCACAACAGGATAGAACCAGCAGACCTCTGTCTGGCCAGTGCGTGTTTGAACAGCGAGGAGAGAGGAGAATACCACATACGTACGCGCACACACAATATTCCACTCAACAAGTATTCGCGGGCTTCGCCCGCGTAAACCGCTTTTTATGGGAGCACAATTTTGCGAAGAAAGTTTCAAGTTTTTTTGCAACTTTTGGTCGGGAACTTTAACTTTTATCAATAACTTGCACGTTCACTAGGGGTGAAGGAAGTTTTCTTCACGTGGAATGCGGGGACATGTTTTTTTTTTTTTTTAGCAACGGCGAAGCAGGCACACCCCTTCATACCACACCGCGAAGAAACCGGCCAGAGCGTGCGGGAGAGGATAGTTCTGACCGTTTTTCTCCCCACGCACGATACCCCAAGGCAATTAACCTGGTACCAGAGAAGCTGGGTAGAACTACCTCCCTTGGAGTGGCATTGCTGTTCCTGTTGCTTCTTCCTTCGAAAAGTTATCGCTGGAATACCAAACCCTGAGCACACTAACCCCGCGAACTTGAACCAACCGCTCTCTGACGTGGTTTTTTTTAGGGTCAACCAAAACTTTTTTCCCGACGCGCACGATACCCCACCGTGCCAAACCCTGGGCATGAAAGATGGAGCAGAGAGCTACCTCCCGCCGATTAGCCTTGCTATTGCTGTTTCTTCCTCCTCCGGAAAGTTGCCGGTGGAAATCAAACCGGTGGCGGTTAATAACATCGAACTTTTGAACTAGTCGCTCCCGGGCGTCACTTTTTTCCCCGGCGCATTCGGCGCCTCACGGCGCCAAACCTTGGCATTGCCCAACAGCCCATGGCATCACCTCCTTCCAAATGCCATTCATGAGGCAACTCGTTTAGTATTGTTGGAGATGTCGGTGAACATGGTCCCTTCCAATCGAAGCTGCAGAGGGGGCCTAGGTAAGAGTAGGTGCTTGACGTGGATTGGCGAAAGTATCGCCGCGTAACTTTTGTTCGATTCCTTCGTCGCGAGAAAAGTTCGCGAACTTTTTCTCCAGATGACGCGATTTTTGTCCAAAGCAAAAATTTCAAAACATTTGGCGCAACTTTTTGCTCCCATAAAAAGCTTACATGAGGAGCGGTGTAGTTAACTTCCAAAAAACTTGGTCCGGAAACATTAAAAATATGCCGGTTTATCTATGATCTGGTCGCAGGAAGCAGCCGGTGCATTGGCGCCTTCATTGTGGCCCTTAACGAGACGTGTGGCGGAAAGAAATGGTACATCTCGACGGTGCAACTCCAGCTCGCATCGGTGGAATTCTGCGTGGCTTGCCGAAGCGTTCCTACGTTGCACTTGACTGTGGAGGAAGGCACGCCTAGGCATCTTTGGGCTGACAACTGCGGCGATCAGGGCAACGCCCGCGGGAGTAGTGGTGGAAGTTCCGACGGGCGGAGCGTTCTTGTGCGCGTGCCTCCTTTTCGACCCCGCGAGGTGACATGGAACCTTCCACCTTCGATGCTGAGCGAAGCGAGTAAGGATGCTTTCACAAAACTGGAATGCTTGTCGTTCAGCGACGCAGTCGAGCGCAGTGGCGACAGGTTTGACGGGGTCACCCTACCTCGTGGTTTAAAGAGCGTGGTCTTCGGTAGATGGTGCTATCAGCATGTCGACAAAGTTTTGTGGGCGGCATCCCTGAAGCAGATAACCTTTGGCAACACGTTCAACCGCTCGATCAAGAGAATAGTCTGGCCAACATCGCTGGAACGAGTTGTATTTGGATGGAACTTCAACCAGCCAGTGGAAGGGGTCCATTGGCCAGCGTCACTACGACAGCTCAACCTCGGCGAATGCTTCAACCACCCGGTTGAAGAGGTCGCGTGGCCGTCATCACTGGAAGAAATCGTGTTCCCGGGAAGCTTCGACCAGCCAATTACAAGGGTCAAGTGGCCAGCGTCATTGCGACATCTCAAGTTTGGGTCTGGCTTCAATCAGCCAATTCACCAGGTCAGTTGGCCGGGATCGCTGAAAAAACTCGTGTTCTCAGAAAAATTCAACCAGCCAATTCACCTCGTCAGCTGGCCGACTGCAGTGGAAGTGATGAGTTTAGGCTTGATGTTTGACCAGCCAGTCAATGAGGTCAGCTGGCCGGCATCGCTGAAACAGCTTGTGATCTCGGGAAGATTCAACCAGCCAATTCACCTGGTCAGCTGGCCGACTTCACTGGAAAAGATGCGTATTGGCTTATTGTTCGATCAGCCCATCAGTGAGGTCTCGTGGCCGGCATCGCTGGAAGAGCTCCAGTTCCTAGGAAAATTCAACCAGCCTATTCACCTGGTCAGCTGGCCGACTTCACTGAAAAAAATGGTTTTCGGCAACTCCTTCGATCAACCTATCAACGAGGTCTCGTGGCCGGCATCGCTGAAAGAACTCCAGTTCCAAGGAAAATTCAACCAGCCAATCCACCAGGTCAGCTGGCCGACTTCGCTGGAAAAAATGTTTTTCGGCAACTCCTTCGATCAACCCATCAATGAGGTCTTGTGGCCGGCATCACTAAAAGAACTTGTCATCACGGGAAAGTTCAATCAGCCACTGCACCAGGTCCGTTGGCCGACTTCACTGGAAAAGTTGGTTTTAGGCGACGCTGAGGCTACCCCCCTTTCAACCAAATTCAACCAACTACGTAGTTGACGGCGCCTCATACGGGCTGTTCTCAGCGAGTGACTGGGTGGGACACAGCTGTAGGACCTGCCACGGCTATCGACGGGGCAAGGAACAAACGACGCGGGGAGTACACCGTGTCAAGACCAGCATCAGCGCGGGTGAACGTTCGCAGCACGATGATGATTGAAGGGCAGAGGGTCGATGCCGCGAGGATCCTACATAGCATCGCTTCGCCGCCTGATCGGAGGGTAAGCAAGCATCCGACCGAGTTGCTGGTCATCAAATACCCCGACATCCTCGCCCATGCTCTTCTGGTGTAGTTTTCGCTGGAGAACCTGTTTTGTCCTTGATAGGTTGGCGGAATCGCGTGGAAGGCTGTGGGGAACCACATCACTAGGTGGCTGAGTACGAACCTGTTTTGACGAGTCTTGACTCCAGCAGAGCGGATGGACTGACATTCGATCTCATTACGTAGGCGCTCTTCGGTGGGATACGTACGCGCTCGGGCTTGTTCTGTGAACATAAATGCCGTAAATAGAGGTGTAAAAGGTTGATATTCGGGGTGGACGAGACTGCGGTCATTCATCGAAAATCTCCATCGATGAATTGACGAGTTCGCTATGTCGTGGTTTCTGTGACAAGAACAACCAGTACCAGGTCTGTCGTACGTGTATGCAAGAGAGCAACATGGGTGTCATCATCACTCAACCCTTCCCTTGCTGTATTGCCGTAGAACTCCAATAATCAAATATCTCTTGAGATTGATTGGTCTCGAACGGTTAACGTCTTTCTGTGGCGTTACGTTCACTGTTAATAAGAGAAAAAACGCGTCATATTGTTCAACATCAAACGGCCACCCGAGGCTGACCCCAAAGGTCAATTGTGTCCTCAACCATTGCGTCGTCTACAGTACGCACATTATTCAAGGTTGTGGTCGAATAATAGAATGTGGTGGTCGGGGTGCTTGCTACAGGAGAGCTCGATTTTGGTGCGGGGCGTACTCTTCATGTTTTGCGTACCCTAGAGGTTAGACCAATGACCACGCGTCCTCGAGAGGACGAAGCTTTGTTCCCACAGGACCGAATACCGATGGCCAATCGTTCCTTCCTGCTTTGCCAAATTTTGGTGCCGGGGGGTCCCAAAACAAAAAAGCGGTGCCAACGGTGAGATAGCTTGGGAGTCTTTCTCCGTCTTCCCACCGAACGCTGGTCGGTGGCCATGTTTGCGTGTTTGCTTGTTCGTTAGTGGTCTCTCCACCGTGTCCCTGTTTCTGCCTCTTATTTCTTGTTGTTTTCGGCCTGGTCCCTTTTTGTCCTCGCTCTTTTTCATTTTATTTTCATTTTATTTTCTCTTCTTCATACTACTGTTTCCATTTTTTATTTGTTGTCTTTTTTCTCTCTTCTTTTTCTCTATTTTTCTGTGCCAGATGGCCTTGTCTCTGCTTGCGTTGTGAAGTACCAAGAATGAACCAAGGCGGTGTGCCTCTTTCTCTCCGGCCCGTGATAGATAGTGACTCCTAGTCTCAGTTGATGCCTCGCATAGCGCGCAGAGGGAGTGGAGGATTCCAGAATATCTGTCGTTGATTTCTATTGACTTGCGGACCCCTCGGGGCCAGTTTATTTGAGTGTACCTTTTTAGGGTAAGTTAACCTGTGACCACGGGAATCGACCGCGTCGAGTGTTGGATCAGTACGGACATACGAAGGTACTGGGTAGAGAGAGATCGGAACGGTTTTTAATGTGAAGACAAGAACAACAACAACAAAAACAACCGAACAAGATGTTCACAGGTTGGGGCCGTACGCCATCGTGGGAAAAAACTCTGCAATCTGAACGTTTTCTGGTGGTCGAAAATCCCGCCAGCTGACCCACAATGGCCACCTACCGTACGTTCCGACGGTTTTTCGGTGTTTTTCCAACGAGGTGGGCAATCGATGCTTATATTGTCTTGAAGGCGTGTGAGGTGAAGCACAGTCTATTGGCTGCTGAACATGAGGCGAGGTCTGCTCTATGAAGCGGCAGGCGACGCGAACCCTGGTACTCAACAGAGAAGGAGCTGTATCGCCGAAAAACGCCCGATCTCAAATTTAAGGCGGGCGCGGTTGACCCACAAGCGTCGTGAAGGCTCCTTGCCGGGTACAGTTGAAAGGGCCAGCATCACGTGGAAACTGACACGCTGCCGTTGTGACAACACCCATAAAGGCAAGAGCTAGTGACCCATTTCACTTTTTCGCTTCCTTTTCTCGATTTCCAAGGGCTCGCCAGACACGGTGTTCTTTTAGATTCGCCAAGCGCTACTACGGCAGCAATAGCCTTTCGACGTGCCATGCCTCCAATCTTCGAACGGTGCTCCTCGTTCCGGAATCTCCATAGAGAGAAGTGCGTTCGAACAACCCACACCTTTTGCCTCGCACTTTCTGCCTCCCTTGCGGTCTGTTTTTCGTATATACCGAGGCACAACTATCCAGGGGTCCCACAGAAGAGGTCTTCCGCAGTGCATGCCGTCACCTTCGTCGCGAAAAACGTTGGAGACCTTCCCTCGGTCGTCATCAAGAATACCACGCAAGTCCAATTCGTGCACGTACGAACGAGTACGTACTTTCCACACTCGGCCGTCCAGCTTCACACCTCTCAAACGCTTTTATGTGTGAACCAACTTGTACTAGGCCCCCACAATTACCAACTTGTACTAGGCCCTCGCAATTGGAGACTCTGTTCCTACTGTTCAGGGACTACTACTTCAGCGGCCTGCAGGGTCGTCGTTTAAAAGCTGGAAAGCTTGTCGATGGTCTTGAGAATCTTGTCGAACTCCACCGACTCCTTGAACTTCTTGGGCTGAATCTGGTTGAACTCGTTCAGAGCAAACTTGAACTGCACCCAAGACGAAACAAGGAGGAACAGGGTTGAACTGAGGTACTGTGAGCCATTCTGACGTCTATATGCATGCAACACAACAGCCCTGGGAAAAATATATCAGACCGCGTCTTTGTGTCGTTGCGACCCGGGTATGGTGGGTCCAATCATACACGAAACAGCCGGAGTCTCTCGGAGAGTGATAAGGGTCGCCCCCCTGCAAAGTACAAGTTGCAGATGGATAACCAAACAACGTCCAACGAGTACCGTTCTACAGCCCACGAAAAGACAAACTGCTTGTGCATGAGCACTACTCACTGCTGTTGGGTTTCAAAATGCAGGGAATGACAAACAGGGTACGCGCGTGAGAAGCGATGAAGAAACCAAACAGGAGGGGCTACTCTCGTGGGGGGGAGCGACAACAGCGAATGATTAACATTGCCTTCAAAGGTGCACCGACCATTGCCCGCACTGGCGGCTGCCTGGCTCAACACTCCCGTCTGAAATCACGAACAATTTTGTTCATGGCGATTCGGGAGATTTCGCATCGACTCTGTCCCAAGGCTGGTCGTTCTCTCTCTCTTCATAAACGGATGAAATCGTCCATTTTTTTTTAATGTGGGGATTGACGTCCGCAATAATCACACGCCCACAGCCAGGGACCACGTGGAGGTGATGCGGTCGGGCCTTGCATCCCCATTACCCCGGCGAAACAACCAAACAAAGGTCAAAAGGGAAGGCAAATAAACAATGAGTGGTACTTGGAGAGGGGCCGCCTCTTACCTTTGATCCGTCCGGCGACGCCGATACGACGTCCGCGTTCGCCTCCACAAACGACGCTAGCTCGGCTCCGTCCTGAAAGGACCACAGCGGCAAGCATGCCACGTCGCGAGGCCGCAAGCAAAACACACAAAAGGAGAAGAAGCGGTGGTGGGCGGTTTGGGTCAACGCGGGAACACGGGGGAGAGTTGGTTTGGCATCGTCATTGGGGAGAGACGTTCAGCAAGAAAAAACACGAAGAACCCGGTCATGCGTTAAAGAAGTGAGACACTTCTACTGTATCCCGAGGAAAGGGAGAAAAAGTCGATAGCAGAAGCGGTGGGTTCGAAGTCAGTTGCAGCACGCCACGGAACACCGACTCTCGGCAACGGGCTCGGCGGCTGGAGAACTTTTTTGCTCCGAGAGGACATCTACTATCAGATTTACTGAAAACATTTCCACATGATGTTGGTGATGTCCTGAGAATCGAAAGTCGAGGGCTGGGCGCCGTTCCGACAGGTGATCAACCATTCTCACCCACTGCAAGAAGACAAGAGCTCAAGCACCGCCGGAATTGTTGTAGTAACCTTTTTTGCTTGAGCTTCTCTCTTGCAGAGAAAAAAACACTCGCCTCTTCCACCACGGTTCTGTCAGCAACATCGCACCATCCACTACTACAGTAAATAGTAAAAAAAGCAGTGCCCCCGAGAAACAAGGATACTACACTTCAAAAATATCTCTTGATGTCAGGAAGGCAAGTCGCTCACCAAGTCGAGGCACTGCTCCATGTTCTGTCGCGTCGAGTCTTGGAAGGTTGTGGCCAGGGTGTGGACGATAAACACACGCATGTGCTTCTTGAACCCGGGTACGCTCTCTATCAAGGCTGGCATGTCCCCGTCCGCGCAGGTCTGCCGCACCGAAGACCAAAAAGGTGAACAACGGCTGTGTCAGGAAGATACAATTCAAGCGAATATATCCACTACCGTGATTTTTTTTGCTTCACTTGAAATCAGCGCTCACAGCATTTGTGCCATTTACTCCAACCCGTGGTCACACAGAAGGGTTTCCCCCTAACCACCCCTCCTGCGGTACTTTGCCTTCGATTGTTCATGCGAGAAGAGCGCAGCACTCTCTTCCCTCTGTGTGTACACACGAACTACCGCTTTCCACCCAGGCCAGAAACGGAAGCGAGAGAAAACCCACTTTGCACGAAAAGCTCGCGTACGCCGGGATTCGAACCCCTGACCCTCACCACTAGAAGGTCTTCGAGGATACCAACTACATAGACTACCGGGGCTTCCGGCATGGCGTCCGTGATCGGCTTACGAAAAAAATCGTTTCGGCGTCTGGGAGGGGATGGCCTGTCGCCACGCAGGTCGTCTCTTTCTGAGCAGGATCAGCACGCAACTGCTCGGAGGAGAAGTGATGAAACCGTCACAAACAATTGGTCGTGAGGGCTTCTGCAACCACCTTCACAACCACTGGCACAAAACTTCGAGGGTTTTTGAACATGTGCAGGAGTGTCATCATTCTTGTCTCTTCTCTGCTCTCACCTGCCAAAAGTCGACAAATTTGGCCGTCTCCAACGAGTCCGCCGCCCTCTTTAGCGAGTGCACAGGCTCGCACCGGTGCAGGTTCGGCGGCACGATGTACATCAAGGCCATGAAGTCCGTGCTCGGCACGTTCATCAGCGCCTGGAATGATATCGGCGAGCGGGAGGGAGGGTATGTGGTGGTAGTTTGCCTCTCGCCGCGGCGTCGACATGGCACCCCTTTGAAACAGTACAGAAGGAGGCGGTCGGGAATTGTTGGCCAAGCAATGTACGGTCGGGGGGGGGGACCAAGTGTTGCCGAAACCCGTTGGCACAGCTAGACTAATCAAGCTGTTACATATACGTTGAAGGAGGCGGTTCCTCGATATAAGGCGGTCGCGTTCAGCAGCCCCCCTCCACCTTACGTCGACCCCCTCCCATGCTGACAAATTAGGAAGGAACGATTGGCCATCGGTGATCGGTCCTGTGGGAACAAGGCTCCGTCCTCTCGAGGATGCGTGGTCAATGGTCTAACCGCTAAGGCATGCAAAACATAAGAGTACGCCCCCCCATGCTGTAGGGCCAAATGAGCTACATGCGTAGCAGCACCAGATTTAAGCAGACAAAATCATAGCCGTGTCCAGAAAACCTAATCGGTCGACCTTGCTGTATCGTTGAATCAGGTAGACCCACCGCTAGCTTGTGTCAAGGCGGGGGGATGTTGGTGCTAGTGATGACCTACTGTATGCACCTTCGCGAGAACGAGAGCAACCTTCTCCGGCTGGCACAGGTCCGGAAAGAATTGGTAGAGCTTGAGCAAGGCCTTGTTGGCCTCGAAGTCATATGTCCCCGATTTCACCTGCGCGACGTTTGTTTCGTGTGCCAAAAAAGCAACACGCACGGCAGCGGGATAGGTGAAGGGAATACCCCGACATATTCTAGCTTACTCCACGAGATCCGCGCATGACGGCGGTGTAGCATGGGACGTCGCTATGGAGGAGTCCCGGAGGGGGCATGCAAACAGCTTACAGCAGTGCCGCACCACAGGAAAACCCACCAAACCATGTGCGGCAAAACAACGGCCATGTTCAATACAGGCACAGCCGATCTTGAAATAGGAACGGGTTACTTCTTCATGTCAAAGGGGTGCATGGTCAAATCGCCCAAGGACCAGACGCGCGACGAGGGACGATATACTCCTGCAGCCTTCCTTGGACACTACCACTCCGTCTTGGGAGAGACGTATGGCCGACGATTCAATGATACATACACGAAACATACACGTTTGGTTGCCCTCGACAAGCGGCGGCGAAGTCGCCTCCCCCGCGCCGCCCCTCAAGGGCTTTGTGGTGATTGTAAAATCCATCCTCCGCCTGGCCCTTTCAAACGCAATGGTGGTGTTATGACACTCATTTGCGGCCAGGCATGCTGTTGAGTGCGCCGCCCTATGTACCCCACGCCCCGGCCCCGTTGGATCTGTCTCCTCGCCTGCTCTTCAAGATACTCCTCCAGCTGGGGCACCGCCCTGTGGTCGAAGTACTCGTGCTCCACGACCGGCCTCAAAGCCTCGTACGACGCCGGGAAGTCCATTTGTTCCAGCGGCATGATGAACGAACGATGAAACAGGTAGTCCGGAACGTCGCCGCACGACGAATAAGGAGACCTGCATGGTTTGCCGGCAGCACGACGACCGGCGGTACATGAGTTGCACTCCATTGCTGGCTGTACACGTACCGCGGTAACGACCACTCACTATCCCCGCAAATGGAGATCGATTTATCCATGACGGCAACCCGGCGGTGTCATTGTGAATACTTGCACGAGCGTACGGGAATCGTGCCATTTGGGTTTTTACCCCCTTACCACGCACAGAAAATTCGGCGTTCATGCGAAATTTGTGAAATGTAAGAAAAAGAGCGAACGACGCCTGCTGATTGGATGGTGCAGACAGTTCCATCCCTGGGTGTAAGTGCAAAGCTGCCTTCCCACTGGAGTCGTCTCTTGTGTATAATCCCTATCAATTGTTCCCTCGATACGAGGGGACATTTGATAGGGATTATACACAGCAACTGGCGGGAGCGTGGTAAACGGGGCACGAAAAGGAGATTTTCAAGATATTTCTCTAGAGGGAAAGCGAGACCTTCTAACTCAAGCCCTAGGTTGCTCGGTGCCTCCGATCAACGGTGGTCTAGGTACTTCTTCCGCGCTTGCCCCTAGTAGCGCTTTCCACCCAAGGATAGACAGACGCGGCGCAACTTCACTGTTGAACCCGCGGCGTAATCGCCCCGCGATTCGACCTGTTCATTGCCCTCATACTCCTCCACTCTGCAAAGCATCCATACTAGACTTGAGTCGTCCCTGTGTACCCTGGCAACCCCCTGGTCGAGTAGTGCAAAGGATGAGACAATCATGCCATTCTTCGCGAGGTAAAGCAGGTGAAGAAGATGGGGACAAAAAGTGTCCCCAAAAGGCGATCCAGCCCTAAAGGGGTCAAGAGACGCGTCTGTCGGTTGAGAAAGCGGCCGACATTGGGGGGGGGGGTGGTATGCTACATGTTTCGACGATATTACCTGTAGACCTTAGGTAGGACTGCACCTACGGCTGTACATAGTCTAATGCAGCCGTTTGTCTGCTTTGGAGAGCAATAATCTCCAACATTTATAGGAGACGGTTGCGCATGACGACTCAATCTCGATGGTGCAAACCATGTAGACTTGACTTGAGAGGTGTCACCTTCCTCACGTACGTACTCTCCATCCAGGTCTTCGGCAGAGACTAACACCTGCTTTACATGTTGCGAATCTCTGCAAAAGTTTTAGCGGTGGCTCTCACCTGGAGACATGGTCGTAAAGGTATTCCTAAATGGCACACCAGTGCATTCTCCGTCCTAACACAGACACTACTGTCCAGCAAGGCAGCCAGCCGCAAGTCCGCTACAGCCATTGCTGTCACACACCTTTTTCAAATGCTGTCTCCTTGATCAAAGCCACCCACACGTTGCGCTAGACCTTGCAAAACAGCTGCCTTCCGACCTTACTCGATAAACGCTCTACGCGTGCTTGGAACCGACTGGAGCAGAGGAGAGAGCCGCAGGGGAAGTCAGACAGCAAGAGGGGCAGCCGGCAGCAGCAGAGAGACGCACACGGAGTCGCCACGGCGGCCCCTTGTTGCGCGCGCGAAACCTCGGCCTCCATACCCACAAAAAAAAATAGCGAAATTCCGCCGCATCCATCCATCCGTTGTTCGCACGGCAGTAGCCCCACACATCGTGTTGGGCAGCGTGCATCCGACAACAAAGCTCCCCGAGTCCGTCCACCTTTCTCGCCTCTTGTTTGTACCTTGTTCTATTGATAGCCGCCGTCGCTGACGCTTGGGGCGTCAATCCTGCCAGGTTACCCCGAGTTTAATCGGGGCGCCTCAGTTGCCTCAAGTTGTATAGCATTCGAAGAAAGCAAGCAACCCTCGAGACAGCAGTCTCACAGCAGTCGACGGAAGGAAATGCAACTGTGTGTAGGGCGGTCTATGGCGATGCTGGCGATGGCGCTGAGAAACGCCAGCGGCTTCGTGGGGCCTGTTCGGTTCACCGCTGCGAGGTCGGCAGGTGAGCACTCGAGGGTTTTTGTTCGTACAAGGGTGTGGTGTCTACAAGCGGCACCTTCCGTTCAGCCGATATCGTTTATCAAGTTGAGGTTGAGGTCTGTTGGCAGCGCGGGAAGCTTCTGCTGCGATTCCCCGGCCCTCTTTGTCGCGCTGCGCAAATCTTACCCCGGCTCATTACAATGCTGGTGTTCTTCTCTTCCACCTTGCTTCAAAAGTATCTCGACCTCCCCACGGAGACTTGAAAATCTCCAATTCCACATCCATGTTGGTTGTGTTGCTGACCTTACGTGCGCCAGGTGGCGTCCTGAGGATGAGCTCCGGGCCAACGGCTGCCTCGCGCCCTAGCGTGCCGGTCCTCGACGCGCAGGCTGCGGAGCTCAAGGCCGAGCGGCTATGGGGTATGGCGGACGCCCAGAAGCCGGGGCTGTCGGTACCATCTGAGAGATTAGACGTTGGGGAGGTGAGGTGCTGCTGTTCTGACTCTGCTGCGTTTTTCGTTTTTCGCGTTGTTTGCTGCGTCCACGCATCAAATCCACGGTTGCTCTCACACACACGTATTGCTCGGCGATCGATACACGTGGGATTTCAAAACACTTTCCCGGCCTTTTTATAGTGGCGTTGAATTTTCCACTCGCCAATTAACGAAAATGGATGATCAAGAGTTTGGTGTCGTGCCCATTACCTTTCTAGATCGTCAGCAACATCTGCTGTGCATTGACGATCGTTCGGCACCTCCGACTGGACAACAATTTAGTTACTCTGTCGAGCGAAAACGCGGGCAACGACAGGCGGCTTTTTCACTCGCTGCAACAGCCCTTGAGTTCAGCGTAATCGTTTCCAACACATGGCTGGCGGCGGATTGAAAAATTGACAGCATGAAGCAGGGATTACTTTGGAAACCAAGGCCGCCTTCCGTCTACCGTCTTGGTACGAGTTCGGATAGGTAGATACTCCAGTTACAATCTAGTCGGCGGGTGGTTGGTTTTCCGCACGATGTGCGGCAAAGTTCCCTCTCTGGACTCAGATAGGGTTGTGGCATGTGCCACCAACAGAAACCTTTGAGTGCCCGCAGTCACGACGCTCCTTTTCTATGTCTCGTGCGTTTTGACATCGATGCAACCGTAATTTGAAGTTGTGGTTGTTTTTTGTTATTTGGTTTTGTCCCCGCTCATGTCTACCTTTTGATATCCATACCGGCGACCTCAGTTTGACTGAGGGCGGTAGATAATACTTGTACTTGGCGCTTCCTCATCACACACCGGTCAAAAGAAATTGGCCTTGCCTCCTGTGGTAGGGTAATTTAATACCACTTTTTGCGATGCTTGGAACCACCATGTTGGCGTTGCTGTCGGACTTTTCCCTCTCCGCTGGGCCCCGGTTATGTAGGTCGTGTCGTTCCTCGAGGTGGTGTTCTTCACCTTGGCCATGGTGAGGCTGTTTCAACACAAATTCTCTTCTTCGAGCTTTTTTTTTAGAGTCCTCAGCTCTCAAGTTCCGTGACTCAAGTGGGAGTAGCCTACCAGCTGGAGGCACGGTCAGTTTCTTTTGTCGGCGCGAGGGTAGGAAGTGCCACATGTTACCGAGCGGATGCAGTTGATGATAAAGTGGAAAGAAGTAAAAATAACACGTCGCTTCCGCTCGGTATGGGACGCCAAACAGAATAAGAAGTACAAGATAAAAAAGAACCACCCATCAAGACAATAACAATCGCATATTTCTATTTCTATACCCCTGACTCTCAATAGGACGGGGTATACAGCAGTCACCGCCGGAGTTGCACCAGCCATGCCATTCCCAGACGCACAATCGTTTTAACAACGTTTGGGGGGCTCAAGATCAAGACACCGGTGATACCTGTATGCTCGATTCCAACACCAGCAGACAAACTCGCCGCATGGTGTCCCCCGTACCATGCCTGGGATATACGCCATGCCAGATTCTCGCCGGACAGGCTAGGCCCCGCCATACGGAGACACGCATAGGGTTTCCGCGTATTTTATTAAGTACCCATGCATGTACATTGTCGGAAAAACGTAACTAAACAACAGTGGTGAACACACGGGTGTTTGGGTGCGGCAGCTTCGTCAGAGGCCGAAAGATAAATATTTTGACTCAAGACCTTGATTGATTAGCACCCCAAACATCTGGGAAGGATGCAGGAGTTTATCAAGGAATAGTTCAGTAGGCAACTTTTTTTTGTTAGTATCCTATTTACGTTTACGTTCCTATGAGCTTTTGCTACACCTTAAATTGGCTTAGCTTAGACGCGGAGCTTGTTTTTCGCCTCATTTTTTCCACCTGTAATGAGGGAGGATGGTTGATTTCCCTTTAATTAGTGGGGATGAGGAATTCGCCGCTGCCGACCCGTTTTCCTTGACTTCTGTCCCGCTGTCAGACCGGTTTGTGTTGAATCGTGTATTGGTCGTTGGCCTCAAGGAAGAGCGGGAGAGTGGGCAGCGCAGCCCACAAACAGCTCCATGACACAAGGCTCAACGAATACATATTCCCATTCAACATAAATATTGTCATTGTTGGATGAATAAAAGGTATTGCCGCCAAGAGGATGGTGGGTAGAGGTAGAGATGATAATGGTTTTTGAAGTGAAGACAACAACAGCAACAGCGTGCCAACAACATTAACAACGAGACACGCACTTGTTCATAGTTCATATCCATGTTCAATTGCCTACCGGATGTAGACTCTTCCCACATGACCTTGCTCGTTACACAGCGGTCAACGTCGTAGTGGAAGTCCTCTAAAGTCTTAACTGCCCTTGAAATTGAACGAAATAGGTCCAAGCGGCTGCTGAGAGCACGCCGCGGCAAGATTCGGTGAGCATCCCTGGCATGGGTGTTTTCGGCAAGAGGGAGAGGGACGACTTCATCGAAGGAGAGGGGGAAACATCCGCGTTGCGGCGGTATCAATACAGCGATCAGCTTTTGACGGACGACGACAGCGGAGAAGAGAGCAGGGAAGACGACGGCAACGAGTACTACATTTGATTGTTGCCTCGAATCCGGACATAGTTAGACTGTAACGTACGTGTACCTCACGCCACCGGGATAGTGGTAGGCTTAGGAATTTCTCTGCGAGGTGCAATCAATCCGCCGCGGACCGCTCCGGCAAAATCTGTCGGCTGGGTTTGCTTAGTGTTGATTCTACCACCGTTTTTTTTTTATCCTGATGGCTTATGTAGCCGCAACTCCGCCTCGTCTCTTTGGCAGTGTTTTGAATGTGGCTTGACTTGTGCTAGCTAGTAACTACTGTAAGTGTGTATGAAACCTGGGAACCCTGAGGCCATGAAGTGGAAGCTTGGGCTTTAGCTTTGGGCCTGATGGGTTGCGGCCGATCTGCCTGCAACATATTCGTTTGCGAGTTTCGGGAAATGTTTCAACTTGACGAAGAAGGTCTTGATAGGAGAGAGCCGTTGTACAGGCAATTCATGAACTTTGCAAGGCGTTTGAGGCGGTGCTAGCGTCCCGCCGGGAGGACGGGAAATTCTGGTCTGATCGCAGGGAAACAATCAAATCAAGAACGTTGGTTGTGTAGTGGTTTCTTTTTCCAGTGTTCCTGTACTACCATGCACTCGCCTGTCTCGCCTCTCTGCGGAATGCATGTGCTATACATGCTCGCTTTGGTGGCGTTTGGTCTGCTGCTTGTTTGAAGTCATGAACCCGAGTGGGGTGCAGCGCTTCGCGGTTTAAGGCCTAACTCATGCATACGGGCAGGTCAAGTGGTTTAAGTCGAAATGCGAATTTCCGGGTAAACATTCATGCCTGGGGCGGCATGCTTCTGCTGGTTCTTTTCGTACCCGGCACACTGTTCGAGAAGGGGAGATGTTTGCTGCGAAGGGCTTAACGCTCTGTAAAGGATTTTAAATGCAAGCACGTGCATGGTTGGCCCTAAATTACTCCGAAAATATTCAGTCCCATCCAGACAAGGAGGATGGCTTCAAGTACTGCTGTCGTTCTTGGAATCAAAATAATACTGCTGTCATCGCGGGTATCTGAACAGGAGAGAAAAAGTCATATCTCTTCTCTCTTGCTATGGCATGCTGTCCATTCCGTTTGACCGAGCATTGGAGGCTTGGCACGGCAGCGGTCTTGGGTGGGTTGCCATATCTTTAATGGAGATATCTTGATCCACCCCGTTTGGGGGGCGCGTTTTGAAAACTGAACGCTATACGTGTATGTAGCCGAGCAATCGGCGACACTCTAAGCTACTGCTCGGTGAGGAAATTGTTGTTGTTGTCTTCGTGTTGAAGGCAGAGCGTGGTTGGTGGGGAAGTACAGCAGGCCAAGCAAGGCTGTAGCTGTGTTCATATTTGGGGAGGGGGGGGGGCACCAAACAAAAAATGCAATTGCACTATTGTACTCAACCGTTTTCGAAATCATGATTTCGCGCCCCCCCCTATCCGTAGATTTCGTAGATCCACAGCAGAGGCATCCACCTGACTGAGGCTTCTCGTTCATCTACATCTAGCTCTGTCGAGCTTGCGCATTGCAAACTGCTGTGAAGGCAAGGCTTAACTGGGGCACTCGGGTCTTGCTACTGGCTGATTGCACCAATCGAAAACGTTGAAGCTACATCGTCGATCGAGTCTTCAGCGAAGAAAGACGAACACACGAGGCAGCCGGCGGGGTGCTTCGCCGGCCTTCATGATCAACCCATGACCCGAACAACAACTACGCTCCGAGCGCCGCTGGTGCTATTCTTCTCGTTGGTGGTGGTATGGCTTCCGGGTTGCTTCGGTGGTGCTACTAGAATCGACGGTCGTCCTGCTCGCCGCCACGTCGCGCGAGCAGCCGACTACAGCCTTGGGAACGCACCGGTAGCAGCAGCAGCAGCAGCAGCAGCAGCAGCAGCAGCATCTGTTCGGCGTAGTCGTCGCCACCGCACGCCGGTTGTCGCGTGCATGAACCACTGCACTCCTGGGGGAGTGGCAGCGTTGGCGAGACCGTTTTGGCCAGACCGGGGCCAAGGCTCGGCACAACCTCGTGGAAGCCCACCGGCCCTCTGGACGTTGGCATGTGCGGCCGGGGTGGTGGCAGTAGCGTCGGCCAGGTCGGCGGTGTCGCGACTGGTGCTGGCCAGCGACGACGGGGAGCAGGACGGAGGGGGAGCTGCCGTCAACAAGGTTGGAGCGGCCATGATCTCCTTCATCAAGGCGTACAAGAAGGAGCTGTCGCCTTTGATCCCTCCGGCGTGCCGCTTCTTGCCGACATGTTCGGTGTACGGCGTGCAGGCAATCGAGAAGTTCGGCCCGACGAAGGGGGCGGTGCTGACGGCGTGGCGGTTGATGCGGTGCAACCCTTTCGCCGGGTACGGGGTCGATTACCCTCAGTGGCCTCCCCCGGGCTGGTTTGCGGGAGAAAGGTGGTGAATGCATCATGTACTACTGCTGCTGTCGCAAGCGCAACTTTCCGCACGCAGAATTCAACAGTATACTTGTACAAAGAAGAGTTAGGGTCACTTGCGGTGGTCGACGACGGGGCGAGGCGTAAATACTGTCCTACAGCAGTAATAGCTGTTAGACAATAGGCTGCGTTTTGGCGACAATGGGGTCGCCGGTAGTCTGTATAATGCGGCACCGAGAGGTGATGTTCAGGCCCCAACCGTATAGGCTTTGTTCCACTGCCGTGTGTGTGTTGCTTGCGTAACGGTTGTGAAAATGTGGTCGCACTTGGGGCGCTTATGTACGTGTGTGCACCATTGTTTTGCGTCGTTCTACAAGTACAAAACCCTCACTCGAACCTTCGTCATTCGTGAATAACTGGCTGTTGTGTGTTTTGCCTTGCAGCTGTCGGGCAAGAGCACCATTCAGTGGCAGTCAGGCCTTGCTCGTCTTGTAATCCTTGTTGCGATGCCGTTCGTGAACGGCGTTGGAATCCGATACATGTGCTGTGGCGTACGCTGACAAGATCGCAGCGCATGAACCTAATCGATTCGTTCGTTGTGGTTTCGGCGTCAACGGCATTGCGTGAGGCTTTTCATGGAGAGCGGAAGACTCATCTTGCTCAAAACTGTTGTCATCCTCCTCGGGTGAAACATCGCTTATTATTTCGGGGCTGCTCTTCTTGGGTCATGAGGCCTACGTGCGAGGTTGTTTTTCGAAGATGCCAAAACACACAGACCAGCAGTCGAACTGCGCGTCCCTTTTCGTGGAACGGGCATGGCGACTACATGCGCAACCTACTCGCTCTTTCTTGAACGAAAGTGATTTTAAGAGTAAATACATGTGCCGACTTTTGGCCTGGCGCCACGGCGTGGGTAGTGTCCGGCATCTTGTCACTGCTGTAGGGAGCAGGGCGCCGGTCCAACCCACCTTGGTGACAAGCGACAACCCCTCCGCACCGTGAAAATGACGGGACAAACCTCGCCTACATCTAATGCAGCCTTATGGTTGCTGGTACAACACGGGTCCCAAAGAATGTACTTCCCTGGGCATTCATCAGCTCATTGAAAGGAGCCTCCACCAAGTCATAGAATCCATCGCGGAACAAAGTGGTCAATCGCTTGTCACGTGTTTAATATTTTTTCGAATCAACACGCCATATCTCCCCCGTTGCTTTGTACATGATACCGCGCGATGCTCTATCAACACAGCGCACCTTACACCTACCCGCGCGCAAACACCATTACCGGTGTGCGCAATATCTTTTGGAACCTATTATTTTGGGTACAACTCATGCTTCTATCAACACACGATCACTTTTACGAAAGCCTCCTCTCAGCAACTTGTTCCGTCCTCTCAACAACTTGCTCCGTGCATCCGGTAGGAATAACCCCTGCGTTGAGCATCTCCACCTCAGCTGCCACATTTTCTCTCGCTTTTGCCTCAAAGGTTCGTTGGTATTCGTCAGTGGCGAATATCGAGCCTGTCGAGAGAAATTCGCGCAAAATTTCCGCTCGCTTTTTGCAGTACGTGTCGGCTGGAACATGGATGTACTCTTCGCGAATCTGGGTTGACGCCAGGCGGAAGAAAGAGCCGTGGGGGGATGGTGGAATTTGCACATTTCTTCGTTCGAAAAATACATAATATGCTTTATGCGGGTGAAGAGACGCAATGTATCTTCACCAGGTCGGTGAATCTCAATCTTTCGCCAGCTCATCATATCGTTGAAGTCTTCTGGCCAGCGTCGAACCAGAAGGAGTTCAATGCAAGGTCCGAAGAGGAAAAGAATCAGCTTCTTCGATGCAAGAAAATGAAACAATGCACATGCCGAAATGCAAGGTACAAGTATGGAACCAAGAAGCCTTTCAGCACGTTGATGTTGCAGCCACGGCTGTTGCACGGCGGTAGTTGACAGTCACTCCAGTGCCGTCAAACACTTTTTTTTCAGCAAACACAGCAGCGCCATGCCAAACACAACGGCTTGCACATCGTTGCGTTTTGGTTCACCTGTGAAGCGTAGGTGAGATATCCGCTACGTTCTCTCCCGACAACCGCCATGTCGAGGTCGATGAAAGCCCGCAGGTCTTGGTCGTCCGACCCGGAAACGCTATGTCGTTTCGTGGCGATGATGTAGTCCGAAACTGTAGTCGAGTCTGAAGCGCTCAATCCCACTGCCTCCGAAAACTTTCTGAACAACGCTTCGCTGTCCTCCTCGTTGCTCCCGCTCTTGGGGTCGTAGACGACGCTGTGGGGCATATTGGAAGGCGGGAAAGATTAAGGTTTAGGTACCAATTTTGGGAGGTAACTACCCGCCGAGAGATGCAGCCGTCTGTTCGATCCCGTCTACAACAATCAGGACTAACTAGAGAGGTAACAACACCTGGTTTGTCAGTACAGCTTGCATGCATCTGCTGCTAAAGACTACGTGTGATACGCTAATTGCTCCGGGATGCGCGGGCCGAAGCCCAAGTTGAGATCTATTGCGCTCGGGTGCGTACGCGGGGAGGCGGGGCATTGAAGCAAACGAAGGGAATAACAATTCGGTTTCGTGTACCAGACCCGGTGGGCATTTTCACGGCCGACGTTGTCAGTGCAACTACACCTCTAAGTGGTAGCAACATTGAATATACTTAGTAGGGTCGCGTTGAAGGGTGGTACAATCATCTGCGGCGGGACCACAAGCTTCGGGGGTGCTGCTCTCACTCGTGGAAGAAGATCGCCAGCTGAACAAGCCGTGGATGTCGCAGGTTAGGAAAGTCTCTGTCGGCCTGTTCCAGCATGTCCGCGACGTGCTCAAACGTATGGTAGTGGCGGCCTTCCTCGCTGCATTTTTGTGTTGGGGGCATTTGGTCCACATCCAGTTAGAGAGCGGTGACATGTTGATTAAGAAACCGCTTTCTCTACCACTTCGTCGCCATATCCTTGTGAAATTGGTACATTGCATGCTAGCTCCGGAGCCTGTCGAGTGCATAGAAACACGGTCCACAACAAGTTCGAGCTGAGACCATTCTCCAATTGCAAATTGGGGTCTCAGCAGCTCGATGTTACGCATCTCTGAAGAAGCAGGTGTACACTGGAATGCAGCAATTCTTATTGTGAGATACATTGTATGCAAGGAGGGCAATTGGGATATGCCCGATTCCCGACGGTCTCATGCATGGGGGTGTTGAGTTTCTTCTGCGGAGCGAAGGTGCGGAGCGAAGAGACACCCCTGCCGTTTGTAAAGTACTCCCCGGGTCTTCGCGAGTGTTTCTCCTCTCGTGTACAATTATTCTGTAGAAAACAAATTCACGCCATGGCCGCGTACAAAAACACCCGAAACCAATCAGAGAGTCTACTACAACGAATAGACGACAATGCAAGTCTAAATGGATGCGCGAAAGCCTGCTCACAATAACTACTGGTGTAGGGGGTAGCAACACATTTTGCACACAGCTTCCAGCAGTAGTGTAGGAATCTGAAATTTCTTCCATGTGTCTGGGGATGCCCTACCGCTCTTTCTCCAATTAGACCCTTGGTGTGCGCTTCCCTCTTTGCTATACTACCACCACCACCCCCTCCCAATCTTCCTGTCCATGTTTACCACACCTTGGGGCAATTGATGGAGCATGGAGTCAGCGTAGAATACAACACTCTTTTCTATGATAGAAATGGATTCGTTGTGTCATACTAAGAAAAATAAAAAAAAACAATCGACCTCCAGCAATAGTACTCACTCAACCCAAAAATAATTTGTGTGTCAACGATACCTGTATCCGTCTCGCAATGTTTCGCCCCATTCCTCGGAGGGCGCGTTGTCGATGCCGAGTGCGTGGCAGAGAGAAACCCACCGCCGCATCACCAGCTTCTCTCTTGACATCTCTGTCGAGGTGTTGCACAGTAAGTTGTTCGCTCCTGTCTTAGACGTGTTGGTTGATCACTCGATCGGTGGGGGACCGCAAATGGATGTTGTCTGACAACCAGATACGTGGGAATACTCTCTTGTGCGTGTGCCCCTCACGCAGAGCATCACTCCCCACGACACTACAATTACACGACAACAAGGGATGGGCCTCTAGTGCCGGGACACCCTAGGAACCCGAGGTAAGTGGCGGGAGATTTTCCTTCCACTTGTTCTGAGTCATTGACTCTAGGGTTGATATGGGATCGGGCCGTTGTACGGATTGGTGGAGTTGATCACCATCGCGTACGAATGATTTTTCCTCCTTTAGACAGTCTGGCGAACCTTCACGACGCCTCGTTGCCATCCACAGGCAAGCGCGGTGTGCAACATTCGGGGAGAGAGAGACACACGCAAGAGTAGACTATTGCTGCGCTCCCTGCTCCTATTATAGCTTCGACCCAAATCCGGGGCTATCTTCGGTAAGGAGTGTTCCGCTGATGTGTCGAAAAATGCGTAACAATGCACGTGCGGTGCGAACACGACATTTTCTTTTGGGCCTGCTGCTTCGTCGATCTTTTGGCCTGCTGTTCATAGGGCAAGGAAGGAAGGAAAAGCCCCAAGCACGCTTGCCCGAGGCTGTGCGAGGCCGCAGGTGGTGGTTTTTCTTGGTGCCTCCTGGAGGGCTGTGCAGCAGCCATGTCGGGGAAGAGGATATCGTTGTCAGCGTACAAGAAAAACAAGGCTTTAGCTGTCACTCCCAAGAAAAAGGAGCGGAGACTGGGCTTCGGCGAATCGGTCAGCACACGGGAGGTGACTATGATATAATACAACAGCAGTACTTTATTAATCCCCTTGGTATTAAGTAATACATACCACAGCAGTAGATTAGTATTGGGAAATGCCTATCGGCAGCTATCGCGTCCTCATTTAGACCTGGGGTCAAATTATGCAACCAGCTAACCACCCGGAAGAGGGTTGCGATTAAGCTTGCCTTGGTTGGTGTTCGTCGCCGTGTTCCCCACAAACGACGGTGGCGTAAACTGGTTCTCGTCACGCTGGGAGATCCACAGCGTCGCGAAAAACTGCCTACACAGCAGTGAAGGCGGTGGTGTTGCTGCTGCTTGAAAATACCAGCACCCGTAGTAAATGTGGCAGGTTTCGGCAGTGGGTGCTTCCTTTTCACGATAATTTGGGACGATTTCTACCTGTCACAAGCTCACATTAATGAAGGAAGTAGACAACTGCCTGCGTAGTCCACTGCTGAAACCCCGCACCTGCAATTTCTGCGTAGTCTGTTCATGTTTAGTTCCCTCAAAGAATCGTTAGCGCCTGTTTTGGGTAAGAGCGCCGTGTGTGCGCCCCCCCCTTCCAACCCTGCTGCTGCAGGGTATCAGGCCCGAGGGGAATATCGTGCATTACGCGTGCGCCCGCCATCAAGCAAGAAGATACCCAAATGATACCATTGCTAGATGTGCCAATCGTTTAATCTAGGCTTGTAGAGGTTCGACAGAGAGATCGTCGATGGACCGTCGAGAGCTTCCCCCCTTGCACACCACATGCTCGACTTGAGAAAACCTTGAAGACGGGTAGGGTACGGAAACACACGAGACACATGAACACGTTAAGGGTAATGCTTGTGCGAAGCTTGGGGGGTTTTGTCGGCATCCTGCTGTTCGTAGGTGGCCGTGCGCAACAACAACACATCGTTGTATGTTTTCCGGGACGGGTTGGCTCTTCCCCACGAACGCAGGCGCGCGCGCACGAGCTCCAGCTAGAGACCCAAGTTATCGGGCGGCTCGACAGCCTGCTGAAGCGGTGCGGGAGGGATCCGGGCAGCGACCAGGCAATCAGCAACTGGCTCTGCGCGGAGGGCCTCGAGGGCCATGCCAAGAAGGGGCTGTCTAGGATTTTATGGTGAGCGCAGGCGAGCGAGAGAGAGTCCTGCAGAACCGCCCCCCGATAGGAACCTACCCACCCGCAGGCAGACAAAACCAGCACCTTTTTCTGTCGTAGATCCTGCGCCTCTATCTCCAGCCAGTCGAATGCCGCGTCTAGGGATGTATTGGCATGTGTACCAGTGGTGAGCCGATGCGCGCGAGATCAGGAACAGGTGCATGTTCCCCCGTACCACGGGAGGGTGGTTGGGATTTTATCGGCGGCGAGCGCGTGGTGACTTTGCTTGTCTCACGGCGTGCGCGCTTCCGTTGCCCTCGGTGCAAGATCGACTGCCGTGCTTCGGTATGTTGCTGCACGCGTCGCATCTTGCGTGGTTCAGGCGTCAGGCCATGCAGCATGCTGGCTTACCTCCTTGGCAACACCCATCGCCATGGAATGTTGAACATTGGCTCTTGTGTTGGCTCTTGTGTTGGCCCAATAGTTGTACCGTTTCCCAGAGAGCTTCCTTCGTTCTTTTGAGGCCCCGTCCCGTTGACAGTCCCCCACCACCACAGACGGTATCGGCTCCACCATATTGATCAGCAACGTTCATGTGGCTGGGTAGTTTTGAGAGTCGGCTAAGGGCCGTTTTTGCAAATTGCGGCAATCCTGTTGCAAGTTCGCGGTGACACTTCGTTCAATAGTGATCCCAAATACACCCCGCCCCACTTTGCATCCGATGCGCAGCCGGTGTACGAACGTACCAACGCACGAATCCTGACTGCAGCAGCACGTATGCTCAAAACAAGTTTTTCTGCCGAGATCTACAAAGGTCTCGTGTCGTTTGCCCTTGTTGCCGGAAGCAATGTCCGTCGCCACCCCTGTTGTACATATTTCGGTTGATTTGGCCCCGTTGCTCAGCTACCCACATTGCTGACGGATTTGTCCTGCCGCCCCCTCTGCGTGTGCCGTTGCCGGCATCTATCCATGACGGCGCGCGCGGCCTCTATTGGTCAGCTACGTTAGGGTGTGGTCCAGAACGTTGCGGGCGGAGGGCGTGGCGCCAAAGGACAAGGACAGGGACAAGGCGGAGGTCAAGGCGAGAGCCGCGTTCGGCGCCTGCGTGTGCGCGATAAACGCCGTGGACAGTCTCTCCTACAGATTTGCCGAGGTGAGTGAGGGAGAGGTGGGTGTCATTTTCCCGCCACTGGCTAGCTAGGCGGTCTACAGTAGGGTGGCTTGTTAGCTGTACCCTTCGAAAGATGAAAGACGAAAGACTGCACGATGCCTCAAGCCTGTTTTCAGCAACACATGAAAGCGATCGCCAGTTAAAAGCTGGGAGGTGTGCTTTTTTTTTCTTTTTTACGGTCGTTTGTCGCTGGAGCTTCAGCCAGGTCGCGTGCGACTTGAATGAGACATCAAGATTGCAAGTACACGAAGAGTATCTAGATGCCCGAGAAGATGCCGCTGCGTCGTGTACTTTACTTTGCCTTCCCCTCGACTCCGTAAAGTCAACGGGTGGTTGGGGATCTAGGTAGTGCATTGCTTTTACCGTGCTCGATATATTTGATATCCCGGGCGCCCCTCAGCAACAACTGCTGAACCGTTGCCACGGGGGACGGTTGTAAAATTGTTGCCCTTAAGCCGAAAAGGCCCTGGTAGCGTCTTGAGTGTTCTAATATCCTATTCCGCTCCCTGAGCTTGGGGCAACCGAACCTTCTTCAGTTCTCACCTTGCTGCTTCTTGTCCTTCCCGCCCGGCCCGGCGCTGCCCTCGATTTCACACACAAGAAAAAGACGCCGGATGCCGAGAACGAGCTGGTCAAGACGGCGGGCGAGGTGCTGGCCGGCATGATGGAGGCCGTCGTCGGGGCGGGATCCAAACCGCGGCGTCGGGGCCTGCACCCCACGGAGCACGCCCAGCTGTCTAGAATGGTCGACGCCTGGCTGCGACGCGGCTCGGTTCCCTCGCCGTCCCTGGAGAGCATCGGGAAGCAGCTGCTGGCTCTCGATCCCGGCGGCGACGCGGTCGTTTCGCCCGACCGCAACGGTGCAAGAGCCGGCAAGGGCAAGAGCTCGAAGAAGCGAGCCGCGTGGGTTCGAGTGCCGGCCGCCGCCGCCATCGGTGATTCCTCGGAGGGCAAACAATCGCCAGGAGACGTGGCTCGCCTGTCGCCGCCGCGTCACCCTTCCTCCGGTGGTGCTGGTGGTCCGGCAGCGTCGGCGGGTGCTGCTCCGCAGACGGAGGCCGAGCGCCACGCGAGCCTGGAGTCCGTTCTGACGGACTTGCTGGCTCGCAACGTGGCTGTGCCCGGGGCCTGGTGGGCGCAGGCGTTCCAGGGTGGCGGGCCGTTCCCGCAGGGGCCGGAGGGGTGCTGGTCGCTGCAGTACCAGAGGGCCAACGAAGACCCGGGGCACCGTCGAAATCAGGTCACGGGGCTGATCGGGGCCAACGGGGATCGTCGCCTTGGGGCCGGCAGCGGCGTAGACCTGGGGAGCGTGAAGACGGAGGCGGCGGGCGCCGATGGGCTCGACAGTGACGGCGGGGCTCCGTCGACGCCGTCGACTGTTCCGAGCGAGGCGTCGCCGTCGCCGGAAAGGGTGTCCCCGGTGCCGGAGGTGAAGACGGAGGGGGGCAAGGACTCGGCGACTATTAGTCCCGCCGCCGCTCCCGCCACTGTCAGGAGCGTTGAGAACGGGACGGCGGCGCCGGCAGCAGCCCGGGCGCAGAAAGGGGGAGCGGGGGGCGGCGCCGGCTCGAGCTCGCCCAAGAAGGCCAGGCTGTCGAAGCGCGAGCAGGAGCAGGAGGACAGGCGTCGTCGGAAGGAGGAGGCCCGTCGCGCCGGCAAGGAGAAGGGCAAGGCGAAGGCGCTGGAGAGGGAGCGGCAGAAGAAGGAGAGGGAGATGCAGAGGCAGGAGATGATCGCGGCGTCGAGGAGGAAGAAGGCGGAGGAGGAGGCCGCCAGGAAGGAGGGGAAGGAGGCCAAGGAGAGGGCTGACAGTCTCGCGCGCCGTACCAAGCTGGAGGAAGAGGAGGAGGACGCCGCTGCCGCTGCCGCTGCTGCGCGAGGCCGCGAGAAGGACCGAAGGCGGGACCAGGCGAGGGGGGAGGCGGGAGAGGAGAGCCGCGGCAACGATAGTAGGTCCAGGGACGGGCAAGACCGCGCCGCCAAAGACAGGGAGAGGAGAGACAAGGGCGGCGCTGACCGGAGAGGTGCTTCGAGGGACAACAAGGAACGCACGAACGGGCGTGGAAAAGACGAGGGCCGGTACAGCGACGCTGCCGGGAGGCTGGACAAGGAGGAGCGGGAGAGGGGAGGTGCCGAGGGGGATCGTGCGTCGGGTCGGCGCGACAAGGCTGAGGGCCGGCGGCATCACGATCTCGGCGAGGGCTCTCGAGGGGGTAGAGAGCACGAGGACCCGTACGAGCGGCAGCGTGGTGAGGAGAGGGGGAGGGGGGACGAGTGGAGGAAGAGGGGCTCGTCGTCGCAGCGGGCGAGAGAGCCGGACTTCGCGGCCGAGGGCGTCAGGAGGAAGTCCGACAACAGCCGGGAGCGCGAGGGCGGTGAGCGGAAGCGGAGGAGGAGTGACCTCAGTGAGTCGGAGGGGGCCAGCGTTAGCGCCAGGCACGACGGGGACAGGCACCCGGACGACCACGCCGAAGACGACCGCAACAGCAGCAACACCCACCGGCCGAGCAAGAAGAAGAGCAAGAAGGACAAGCGTGACAAGAAGGACAAGAGGGGAGACCGGCACTCGGAGCCCCACCACCGGCCGGGCCGGGCGGGGAGCTCGGAGTCATCGCGCAAGCGCTCGTGCGACTTCGACGCGGCCCCGCAGCTGGAAGGCTACGCCGCCGTCGCCCTGCAACCGGACCCCCTTCATCGCAGCGCGGAAACCCGCAGGCACCGGTCGGAGCAGGAGTCGGGACGCACCAGCAGCGAGCTCAGAGACGCACCGCGACGGAGTCGCTCGAGGGCGGACTCAGGCCTGTCGCCGAGGCGGGACGATGGCCACAGCGGGTCGGAGAAGCGTGCCAGGCGCGGTAGCAACGGTGGCAGCGGAGACGGCTACGCCGGTCAGGGACGAACCGGCACCAGCAGAGAACGGCCATCCGCGCGCAGGGGCATGACGCCGCGCGATTCGGTCACCGGTGCGTCTTCCTCTGGTGGCAGCGGCGGCGGCGGCGGCGCTCTGCCCGGCATGGAGGGCTACGGCTCGGCGTCCTCACCGCCCGCAAGCTTGGAGTTTAGCGGCGGCGGTCTCGGCGGCAAGACGAGCGAGAGAGGGCGTGATGCCCATGACAGGCAGGGGCTGGGAAGCTGGAAGGCGCTGGATGCCTACGAGCCGGGCCTGGGCAGGGACAGCTCCCCGGACGGCGGTGGTCGAAGGAGGAGAGGCGACGGCGGGAAGGATGGCGGAGCCCGCCCGCGACTAGCGTCATCCGTGGACCGGTATGGGCCGGGCGTGGATAGCCACGGCCGCGGGGGTGGGGGTAGATCCGAGAGGGATCGCTCGGACAGGGATAGGTCGGACAGGGATGGCGCAGAGAGGGATCGCGCAGAGAGGGATCGTTCTGAGAGGGATCGGTTTGAGAGGGATCGGTCTGAGAGGGATCGGTCTGAGAGGGATCGTTCTGAGAGGGATCGGTCTGAGAGGGATCGGTCTGAGAGGGATCGGTCTGAGAGGGATCGGTCTGAGAGGGATCGATCTGAGAGGGACCGCTCAGAGAGGAGTCGCTCAGAGAGGGGCTCCGAGCTGGACTACTCGCGCGTGGCAGACATGAATGGCAGGGAATCGTCGGGTCGGCGTGGCGATATTGGTTCGCACCCTTCGAGCTTGTCCAACGTGAGAACATGCACACCGTGCGGTGGTGTTTCTTGGTGTGTGTACTACAGACTTGGAGAGCCGTGCCTGCCTCGCACTGCTGTTGTAGAGCGAGCCCCCTGATATTGTGCTGTTGTGTGCCGTCGATTGGACCTACGAGTCTTGGGTGGCTAAATTGCCCGTGCACTTCGCTCGCCGGAACCGACTATGCTGGAAGAACCCCGACGCCCCGTTTCAACCGAGATGCATGCTCAATGATCGTCAAGAATAACGACAAGCACCACATGAGGCCCCCTTTTTACCCCTCCCCCCTCTCCCCGCCATGCCACGACGCACTTACCCCGCGTACGTGCCCCTGCCTGCCGTTTACTCCCGCTAGCAGGCTCGCGGAAGCCGCTGGTCCCCGGAGAGAGGGACACAGTCCACGGCTGCGCGGGACGGGACCAACCGGCGGCGCCCGGGGTCCCCTGCTAGGGATGACTCTCGAGGTCGCCGTTCCAGCTCTCGCGACGGGCGGCACTCGAAGAGTGCCGGCGGTGTGAGCACCGGCGGCGGCCGCTCAGCCGCGGGCGGCATGGGCAACCTGGGCATGGGGATGGGCGTGTCCATTATCGGCGGGACCCCCGTCCTCATGCCCGTCGCGAAGATGATGGAAGCGTCCCTGCGTGGCGGAGGCGGCGGCGGCGACCGGCATTCTGCGAGCGGTGGCAATAGGCTGGACGACCGGGACCGGGACCGGGACCGCGAGCGACACGGCACCGGCAGGCGGGAGGACGAGCGTGACGACCGCTGGGGCGTCAGGTCACGCTCGGAGGACGACCGGGACCGTCGGGGGGGGGGGCGTTCGGAGGACCGCAGCCGGCGCAGCGGAGGCGGCGGCGCTGACATCCGCAGGAGCAGGGCCGACAGCAAAAACGAGGCGCAAGCCCTGGGGCAGGCGTCCCCCCAGGAACCCGAGGAAAAGCCGGAAGAGGGCGAGCTGGTCCTCGACCCTTCGATGGGGCTGCCCAACCCGCCTGCGCCGTCCGCGAGGAAATCTCGCTGGGGGGACGTGGAAAAGGCGGCGACGTTTGCGGGCACACGCGGCGGCGGCGGGGGCGACAGGGGCTTCGTCGCCGCCGCCGCCCGTGGAGAATCCCGGTGGTCGCAAGAAGAGAGGGGAGAAAAGTTGGTTGGTAGTGACGACGGAGGCAAGCGGGCCCCGGGGGATGGGGATGATGCTGGTGGAGAGCTCACGGTAGCTACCGAAGGTGCGAGCGTGCGTCACTGAACGAACGCCTTGGTAGTGGCACTTTGGTATGGAGGCAGACATCGGCAGTGCATGCTGAAGGGGCACCGTGATGAGAAGATTGTGCCGGTGACAATGGGTGGTGTGTGGTGCCCCCCTTCCATGTCTTATTTCCTTGTTTCTCTCTTTGCGCTTCATCCATTCCCCATCACGTAACGTAGCTGGGGTGGCGCATTTTTGGGCGTGCCACTCGGGTGTAATAGATGCATTTTTTCTCTGTTGCTTTAGGCATCGACCTTTTTTCGGGTTGTGTCATCTTTGGTAGATGCGTCTGTATTTGCCCCGCCACTACGTACTTTACCGGCCTTAGTCGTTGAAGGAGGAAGTCTCTTATTCAAGCGTGGTTGCTGCTGCGCAATCTAATGTACAGGGTTAAAACGTGAACAACCAGCAACAAGATCACCAAGATGAGCAATGATAAAAGCGCCTGCGTTATTTCTCTCGCCACAGCAACGTCATCGAAGAGGAACTCAGCATCGCCGCAGAGGTCCCCGCGTGGGACAGCATCATCGTCGAGAAAGGGATCGGCGGAAGAGGAGACAACGGCAACGACTTCGCCCGAGAAGGAGACTGAAGTTTCTTCTTCTTCAGCGGCAAAATCGTCGAAAGAACGCTCTTCCTCGTCGCCGACCGTCACGGCAGACGAACGAGGGGAATTGAACGAGAGCGGTGAAAGTGGGGAAGCAGCGGCTCCCGCGAACGATAACCCAGGACCCGAGGTGCTGCCGGAACAGACGGCGACGGTCGAGGACGAGGGACAACAGGAAACACAAGAAGGACGTGATGCGTCTTCTTCGGCCGCCGGAGCCGAGAGAGAGGCGCCCGTCGAGCGCTCAGGCGCGGAGGAGCCAAGCGACTCCGCATCCTGCGGGAAGCCAAGCGGAGGTGAAGCGAGCGACGGGCCCGAAGCAGACGCCACACCCTCCCCGGGGGGCGACGCTCGCCAGCCCGGTTCCTTGCAGAGGAGCGATTCCGACCATTCGACGGGCGGGACGCCCGATGCATCGGCGGCGGCGGCGGGGGTGCGCCACAGGAGGCGTTCTTCCGGCGACATCGGGTCCTTCCTCAGGAAGGGCGGCCGTAGGAGACCGGGAGAGCCCGCCTCGCCGGCCGCCGCGCCAGCCGCCGACGCCACCGTCGAAACGGCGGCGGACCCGTCGTCGTCTGCTCCGGACCCCAATAGTCCGGTGGAAGGGACGCCTTCAGCACCCGACATGGGGGGCTCGGCGGTTGAGACGAAGCCGCAACGGGCGAGCGTGTTCTCGCGCCTCGGGGCCCCGCCGAGCGAAGCTAAGAAAGACGGCAAGACACCCCCCTCTGCCGCTAACCCGTCGGGGACCCCTGAGGCCGCCCCCGCTCGGGGACTGGACGCCTGGGGGAGCAGTAGCTCCACCGCCGCCGACGGTCCAGCGAGCGGCGAAGGCAAGAACGCCGCCGGTGCTACCGCCGCCTCCGACGATTCACCAGCGCTCACGCCGGTAAGGAGAGTCAAGGGCAGCGGGGACAAGAACGACGGGAGGAAGGTCGGGGGCGGGGCAGGACGGCTCATGAACGCCGCCCTGTCCAGCTCGCGTGAAAGCGGGCGAAGCGGGAAGAGGGGTGGGGCAGGCGGGCGGGGGCGGGGCGGCAGAGGGTGGGGACGGGGCGGCGGAAGCGGGGGCGGCGATGGCTGAACCGTGCTTTTTTTGCGTTCGCGTCGAATGTTGGCACAGAGGCGGCAGCAAGCGGTGGCGACCAATTTGGCGCAGGGTTAGGCGAGAGAGCCGCCGGGGTAGACGGCGAGGGGGTTCGATCGGCGTCGGGACCAAAACTAGCCCTCCTGCACTTGGGTGCAAAGTTCGCGCCCTTTGGTGTGTTTGGTGTCTCGTGGTGATTCGCGTTTGTTCGAGGTCTAGACAGTCAGTGTGGTATATGATAGAGAATGTTGAGATCGAAGCTGGCCCGCTCTGTTGTTCTTGCTCTTGGTGGTGGTTGCGCGTCTTACACCTCTGCCGCTTTGCTTCGGACGGCGTTGTTCGTTGCTGCCCGTCTAAAGGGCGCCTAGTTTTGCTCGATATTTTTTTCGAAAGGAGTATTTGCTAGCCCGGGCGGGGCCTCCGGATGATGCACCTACCTCAAACGGCGCAATAGCAACATAGAAGGGGTAGTGGCTTTTTCTTCGAGGTGCATAAGAATTACATGGGGGGATTAGTGCAGACACAGACGTGCGCGTGCACCTCTAGGGTCCAGGCAAGCGACGTATTCCACTGGTTTGAGGTTATCATCACGTGAACGAGCTATCTCAGTATCCAAGCAACGACAGTATTTGTTTTCCCTCCGGACGATTGTCCGAACAACGAAAGAGGCCGCCCGTGCTTGTTACGACACGGGCTGCTATTCACGGCGGTGATGGGCGCTTTTTCTCTTAGCCCCCCCCCCCCCCGATCGCCGATGATGGCATGCATCGACTTGTGCGTGCGCCGCTTGCTGCTCTCGTCACCGTAGGTAGGTCTTGCCGATCAGCAAAGGGGGGGCTCCAACGATTAACCCTGCACGAAAGAATGCATGCCAGATGGTGTCTACCTGCGATTCGTTCGTGCCACAGCAATAATAGTCAAAAGCGCATGCTTGCAGGTGGGCTCTCCTCGTCTCTTCGCGACGACGACCCCCTCTTCTGCAGCCTCGGTGTATACACTCTTGTCGCGTATAGTCCATTCCCCCGGCAACACGTAATCTCGTCTGGAACGGGTGCTACAGCAGTACTGCAAGATGCCCTTAGGCCGTCGGAGGGACGTCTAGACTTGACGTACGCATACGACAACAAAAAAAGAAAAGAAAGGAAAGCCTTCGGCGAAATGGCGAAAAACTCTCAAGAAGAGACACGCGTAAAAGCCAGCTGTCCTTTTCTTGGCGCGTTTATTTTTCCCAATCTCTCGAGCGTCAAGTCCGGGGTGACGGTGAGGGGAGGCGACAACAAAAAAAGAGGAGTCCAGACAGGGTACAAACGGTTTTTTTTAGTCTTCCAACCGCGAAAACAAAACAAAATGCGGCGGCTAAAGACCAGCAAAATAATCCCGACAAAAACGCTACTAGTTTTTTTTTTTTTAATCTTCACTTCAAATCAGCGCTCACAGCAGCAATAGTTCCGTTTACTCCAACCCGTGGTCACACAGAAGAGCCCCTCTCTACCCTCCCCTCCTGCGGTACTTTGCCTTCGATTTTTAATGCGAGAAGAGTTCAGCACTCTCTTCCCTCTGTGTACACACGAACTAGCGCTATCCACTAGGCCAGGAGCGGAAGTGAGAGAAAAACTCACTTTGCAAGAAAAGCTCGCTTACGCCGGGATCCGAACCCCTGACCTGACCTCTAGAAGGTTTCGAGGATACCGACTAGACCACCGGGGCGACCATAGTACCACAATGAATGGAAAACGCAAAAACTCCTGCTTTCTTTGCCACTGATAATCCTACTGCTGCCGCTACTGCACACAGACACGCATTAAATACCCTGGGAAAAAAAATGAAATTTGCTGCTTCCGTGCTGCAGCTATTTCACAATATTTCCTGCACAAACAACGATGTACTCCTTCGCAGGAGGGTCGTCCACGTTGCTACCAGGGGGGCAGCGTGCGAGGGAAGTAACGACTTGGATCACCGCAACGACATCATCTTATCCGCGCTTGCCGTGCATTGCCTTCGGATGGACTACGCCCAAGAGGGAGTGTTAATCGCAAAAACACAACAAAAACAAATTCGTCTCTTTTTCCTTCTTCGCTTGGTGTTCCCCTTCCTGGACTCCGGGGCTTCAAGCCCGCCCAACACACCGCTGTACGTAGAGAATGGGTGTAAACCGCTGCCTTTTAACACCCACGAGAACCCACAAGACGTCGAGGCTCCGACATCGAACCAACCACACGTACACTTCGTTTCGTAGAAGGAAAACATCACAGCCTGTGGTATTTATAGTGCGCCCGTTATGTGCTATGTACCGATGGTGCCAACGGGTGTGCGTGCGCTCAAGACAGACAAGGGACGAAAAAACTCGTAGGGAAAAATCAACTGATGGAGAGAAAATACCACACTCCGTAACACCGGAAAATAACATACCGCCTGAGGCCACCTATTGACAGAAACCGGCAAGGTTCTCTCAGCACGCGTTTTCCACTAAAAAACACATGCATGATGGACGAAAGAACCATTCAGGTCACGACCCAGTCCAACATAAAAGGGGGTGCGAGGGTGGGGAGGGTGCTTTGCTACAGTACTACAATCCGTGCATGATGGACGAAAGAACCATTCAGGTCACGACCCAGTCCAACATAAAAGGGGGTGCGAGGGTGGGGAGGGTGCTTTGCTACAGTACTACAATCCGTGCATGAAATCCACAATTGAGTAAAAAAGGACAGCATCAGAACAGCCGACCTCGGCGTCCTAACGAAAAGGGGCACGAAGGTTCCGTATCAACAAGTGGGAAGAAATGCATGAAAACAATCCGGATCGCCGAAGGAAAATAAAGAAACAACACTTCAAACGCACCATGTCGGCATATACACGGACGCACGTGTGTGTGTACAACGGCACAAGTTTGTGGGCAGATTCCCGCACCCACAAATGCTTGCCAAGAGGTGGGTTTCGGTGACTCCCACAACCTATCACTATCAACAAGTTGCACCGCCGCGTGTTGTGAGAGGCTCGAGCTCAACTCCGGGAGCGTCGCGCAACAGGCCAGCAAGCCTCTGCTTCTGGCCTCCCCCAGCCCCCCGATAGACAAGAAAACACGCACCACCATCCTTCGTGATCATGACTTGACCACGTTCTGGTGACCGTTTTCGCCGGAGTGGCACGCCGCCGGTAGCTCGGACACCTGGAAGTGCGACACGTCGTTGAGCGTCCGGGGCACGTAGCGCACCCGGCCCTTGCCGCGGCCATCGTCGACGACATCCACCACCGCCACCGCGCAGTTCCTCATGAGGGGGCACGCCTTCTCGTCCAGCCCCATGACCGTCAGCATCATCACGTTCAGGATACCTCCGTGGGACACCACGAGCGCCAGCCTCGCGTTCTCGTCCCCGTTCCTTGCCTCGGCGGCGGCTGCAGCTTCCGCGGCGGAATCGTGGCGGCCGTTCCGTCCCTGGCCCACCCTGTTGACAGTCCCGTCGTCCGCCGCCCGCACGGCGTCGGAGACCAAGCTTGCGAGGAACTGCTGGGCTCGCTTGTGCACGTCCGCCGGGCTCTCGCGCAGGCTCTCGTTGTACGCTACCGGCGACACGCCCGCTGCTTCCGCCTTCATGCGACGCGCTCTGGGCCTTGGGGAGGGGGGGGGGGTCGTTCGTTGGATATCCGCGGCAAGGTTGGTCGACCGCCAACGGCCTTACAAGTTTATACAGTCGGAGCGCTGCTACAGGCCGATTACCATGCTACTCCAACAAATACGGCCTACTTTTCGAGGGTGCCGGAGAGGAGGGGGTGGGCGTTGCTTATATATTACTGGTACTCCATTACTTGGCGCACGATCACATCTCTCTCCCTCTCTCTCCGTACGTACGAAGGCTTCATCCCACCATACGAGTGCATCATAGTCGAGTCACTGCCAACCAGATCTCCTTGTGGACGCCAACAATAAAATTAGGGCCTCGACTCCCGTTTTCTCGCTATATTGCCTCTTCACACTCGCACACACGCGCGCAAAGCACACAAACAACAACCGCCGCCACATACCAGGTGGTTCCACGCGGCAAGCCCTCCTGCGCACCCAGCGCGAACTCCCTCAGCAGCGGGGTCTTGCGGAGGTTCGCTCCCGCGTGTTCCTCAAGGATAATCTCGGCCGTGTGCGACGCCCGCGTCAGGTCCGAGCTGTAGGTCTGCCAGTACGTGTTGCCCCGAAGGCGGATAGCGGTGGCGACCGCTTGGTTGATGCCAATGGGAGTTAGGTCGTAGTCCTGGTGCCCTTGGATAATGCCCTCCCTGTTTCGAGGGCAAGAGTAGTCAGGATCAGCTGGTTACCGGACAGGTGAGAGTTAGGCGATTTGTTGCAAGTACGCGAGATATTTGCAGCATAGCGTTTCGACCGTATTTGCTCTGGCAAGCACACGTTCACGGGGGTGTGACAAAAATCTTTTGTTGTTTGGGATATCGCTCGATGGTCCGCTCTAACCCGCACCACAGCACGCACTCCATGTCTCTGCCTAGCGCTCCCATTGCTGCTATTGCACTCGCTGTGCGCAACCCATCCACGACAATCGTCCCCAGGCGGTGAAGCGAGATGTATACGGTACTGCAGTAAGTTGGAAGCGACGCGCTGCGAAGCTCGTTGTTAGTAAACTCGATCGACTTCATACAAGTCGCGAGGGAAGGGATTGCTGTACCCTTCTCGCGATCAAAATATCTCAGGCAGGAACCGCAGGAGGGGGTCCAACCCCCCCCCTCCTATGTGACCCCGGTTGGGGCGTCTACCTAGTAGAAGTGGAGGATAGGGGCCAGAGGGGCAGACGACAGAATCCAATGATGGGAGAAGAAGAAGAAGAAAAAAAAGTACCATCGCGCGCTGAGATCTGCGGTCGCCACAACCTTATGTCCGTAGCCATCGGCCGGCGCTCAAGATTATAGTCGCTCGGTGAAATAGTTTGTCGCCAACCATGCGTGCAACCAAGCCCGCAGTAAACCGCACGCGCATGACGAAGCAGGCGCAGTTGTTATCCCTCTTGACCAGCCGTATGTGTTGCATGTTGCACCATCCTTGTCGTCAGGTGAGTTGTGTGCTCTCTCTCTCTCTCTGTCTGTCGCGCCCTGTTTCTCATCATGTTTCTCAGGGTCTCACAATAGAACAACGAATTCTCGTCCGCGTCAACCACTACACGCGTACAACAAGGAAATCCGCACTCATCCGCAATAAGGAACGAGGAACGAGCTTTGCCCCTTTTGGCCCTTGGCAGATTCTTCTGTGCACGGTCAAGTCAACACGACGAGGAAAACATCCGTGGAGAAAATGTTCGGCGCATCGTTTGCTATCAACCACATGGACATACAAACGGAGATCCCTTGGTACCACTTAAAACTATGTCCACCGAAACATACGGTATCACGGGAGAATCTGTGGAATAGGTATTTAGGTCTTTTGCCTACGTGTACAGGCGGCGTGCAGGCAGCCGCGATGGTCCGGTTCGCAAATTACCCACAGCAGTGTTCGACCCGCAGCAGAACTTCACGTTCAGCCTCAAAGTTAATCCTCCTTCTTGGGAGGCACTTAGACTAGTCTACTAATAAGGAACCTTGACCAGGGTTATCCTACACAAGGAATTGTCACTTTTGGAGACGATTCGTGGGTGCCTTTCCTGCGCATGCGCAAAGTCAACTCCTATTTTAGGTCCTGCTTGCAGTTGGACATTTTTTGCGCCAATCCAAACTGGACACAGATGTGCACTTCCCCCCATGTATGTGAAGCCGGCAAGAGATGTATCGATAAAAGGCGTGACGAGAAGTAGGGAGTGTCGGAAGTACGCAAGTCCGAGAACAAGGCTTCTGTCGGAATCGTGCAATGGTTGTGTTTGTGTGAAGACGTGCGCATTGGAATTAGAACTGGGAGCTACAGAGGTACAGAGGTGGCTCGCAGTCCCAAAAAGCGCCAAGACTTTTTTGCACAGTGGAAAAGGAAAAAGACCAATTGTTTGCTAAACATTCTCCACCGAACACAGCCGTAGTGAGTCCGCTACGCTCTTACATAGAGCTAGGCAGCGAATCGCAAAAACGAGAGTCTGGAGCAAGCGCGAGAGACATGGCAACGGAGCGTAAGCCGCCGTAAACTTATCGCCAGGTGGGCGGGTAGCGCTATCTACACACCACGCCGAAACACACACGAACCGTTTTTGGGCGGGAAAGGGGAGAAAAAAGCAGCATCACATTCCATCTTCATCACACCACGAGTGCTTATAGATGCAGCACACAGCGAGCGGAGCACCCAACCTCGTCAACCTCTGGGCGGTGCCAAACGCACACACACAGGGAAGAAGGAACAAATATTCAAGTTGCCCAGTATGGCGAAGAAGACAAAAATTGCGCGGAATCTAACTGCTGTACAACTGCTGTACGTACAACAACCACAGCAAGCTGCACAGACAGGCACAAGACCGTGAAGCTTTTGCAGATCCGGACAAAAAGTGGAGCCTCACCGGTTCGCGGTTGTCTCTCCATGCCGGACGAAGTGGAGCGTGCACAGCAGTCGTGGCATCGTTTTCACTTCCGGCGGTGTGTTGTGACTGGTCGAAACCATGCACACACTCCTTCTCTTTCTCTCTCCCCTTTTTGGCTGTTTGTTGTGGTCTCTCGTTCTCTCCTCTGCCAGCAATTGCGTGTAACTGCCTCGTTTCATTTTCGAGGGGGCGGAACCAGCTGCGGACCACCACGAGGAACAAAAAAAAAGTAATCACACGAATCAAGGTTTAGCCGAGCCGAGAGAGTTGGAGATCTTTTACTGCCGATTGTACTACAAGTGTCCTATCCCTCTTGCTGGTTGCTCCCCCCCCCCCATTCATCCCCCAACACAACACCGCTCTCTTTACACTGAACATCAACCAAGCATTCTGGAAGACGATGATGATGAAGCCAACCGCTCGTGGTCGTCTTTTCTTTGGAGTAGTGCTTCTGGTACTGGCCGCCTCCGGAGAGGCTTTCTTCACGGCTGCCCCTGCTCCCGCCGTCTTCAAGTCCCGCGCTTACAGGATCACCACCACCAATGTTAACGCCGTCCGCCACGGAGGGCAGCAGGACCAGCAGGACCCGGAACTGAGCGTGTTCGACGCGGGCGAAACGGCAGTTTCTTGGGAAGACTACAAGAAGCAGAAGCCGGATGAGTTCAAGGTGTGTCCCAGCACATGGAAAAATAGAGCCAGCGGATATGCATATGGAGGCCCACAAGAAAACTCAACCTTGATGTGGTTAGCCCCCCCCGGCGTGATGACCGTAGATGCGCACGCAGCAGTGGGTACACGCAGGGCAATGCCGCGGTAGTTAGCCAAGACCTTGTTCTGGGTTTACTCCTCCTGTTCGTTTGTCTCTGGTGCGTGAACCTCGATTCCTCAATCCCCCATTAGTTCTGGGATACAAGTGTAGCTCCGACGACGTGGAGCAGCGGGCGAGGTGTTGCGGGTAGCAAATACGTAGCAAATACTTGGTGTGTTATGATAACCCCTCATTGGTGTCCGTCGCACATGCGCCTATTGTGGGTACAGCACAGGCCTGTTACTGTTTGCGTTCAGATCCGGCATGGATCCACGAATAGAAGGAGAGGGGCCCAGACACGAACGGGCCACCCTCGCTTCCAATGTCCAGGGTAAGAGGGTGTCCTCTTCACCTGCGCGAGCAAGGGGGGCAAGCTGTCTCTTGTCTTTCCACTCGTGACGGTGGAAAGAAGTTGATTGAGATTGGCCCGCTCTCGTTGAAAGTGTATATGCAGGTAGTGAAGCCCGTCTGGTGACAACAACAACGATTCTACTGTCATCAAAGCATTTCTACCGGGCGGGCTGAAGTCTAGACTTCACCCTTGTTTGGTCTGAGGGCAGTTGTCTGAACTGCCCACACTAATTGTACAACAAAAGGTTCCACAACTCAGTTATTTGCGGCACGTCCTGCCCCCAATACGTGTGCCTTTGTACAATATAGCGAAAGGATCCACCAACCCCCCCCACCCTGCAACCCCGTCCCATTTCTTCAAAACAGCTTGTGAAAACCCCACATCTCTACTGTAGCATACCACGATCCTTGTGTCTCACATCGCTCTTTCGGCTGATCACACGCCAACCTTTGGCCCAGACTACAGTACAGTAGTGCAAGTATATTGTCTGAAGTTCCATAGGGCGCGATTGGGTTGCGAGACCCCACCATCAGCGCTCGTGGAAAAGAATGGCCAACTTGCGTTGAGGACCAATGGGAGCCGAAGTGCTAAGTGGGGTGGACTGAAAAACAGGATCGAGTTCGGCGGAATGGGAGGTGGCCTCTTCGTTTCCTGCGCCGGACTTTTCTCCAGGCGGCAGGCCCGTCGTTAGTGGGTGCCCGCTCTTATCTGCCATTTGTCGGCTGTCAATTGCGAACCCCAACAGCAGTGTTCCGTGGAGACCAACTTGCTTGCTTCACGTGTACGTGCGCCTCTCATTGCACGTAACGCAGTCCGCATAGCACTCCAATCAATGCCAGTCCTCCTAAGGGGAGAACCAAAAAGATATATCGCTGTGTGCTGCTCAGGAAACCGTGGAAATACAGGTGGCTTTCTCTGGCGCTATGAATTCATTGCTAATCTACATATCTTAGACTCTTTTCTTAGATAGAGATGGATTCGTTGGGTCATATTCAGAAAGAAAAAAAAAAGAGAACCAACCGACTTGTTCAACTCACACCAACGGGGACAATGTTGTACTCTACGACCTACCGTTGTAGATAGCAAAGAAGGAAAGTCACGTGCCAACACAGCTAGGAGTAGCTACACTTAGCGTGATTACTCGAGGAAGGAGACCATGATAACTAATTCTTCATTTTATCAAGTGCAACCTGTACTTATTTGTTCTCCGTATCGCAATACATCTTCGCATACATGCGTATCAACATTTTTTACGGGTCGCCGGCACATCAGCTGGACGCCGTGGACGAGATGCAGTGCTGGAAGACAGACGAGTGCCCCGTTGAAGACGAGAAGAAGTTCACCAAGGCCTGGGAGATACACAGCGCCGAGAGGAACCCCACCATGGAGACGCATTTCGACAGCGAGGTGCGACGACGCGTTGTCATGGCGCCCTCTCTCTGCGCATACCTAACACTGCATGGCGGCAGATGGTAGTGTGGTGAATAATTAACTTGAGACCGAACAACTTTATTAGCTGTTCGCGAGGCTCGGTTTTCCCCCCTGTTTGTGAGGCGGCAACCAAACGGCACACCTGTACAGCAATTGGTTGTCATGTGGGGCTCTTGGCTCTCGTTTTGGCCGCCACTGGATTGCGACGGACGGCTAGCTGTTGAATAAATGAATAAATGCGCCAGAGCGTCAAGCACGCAGCCAGCACGCACAAACGAGAGCGGCCCATAGAGCTGCCCGAGTCCGATCGTCCATACGAAAGCCCCCACCTGTTTCACCTTCGCGAATCGAATACGAATCGCGCGCGCGAGGTTGACTGTAATCGTTTTCGCTTCGTCTTTGTCGGAACTCCATACCCCGCTACTCCTGCCTCCGCGTTTACCGTGCGGAATCGGAGCACAGGGCGAGTGGGAGGAAGAAAGCAAGGGTGCATGGTGAGGAAGCTTGTATTTTGTCTATTCCGTGTTTCTACGCTCCCGTCCTCCTCGTAACAGGCGTGTCGCTCGACCAACAAGGGTTGAAGAGGGAGTAGTAGCGCTCACCACTTGAACAAATCCTCTCCGCAATCTAAAACATTCATTATTCGTAGTCTGTATCGTCTGAGTTTTCAACGTTGGTTGAAGTTCCACCTTCCCCCAAGGCCCTGCCATCTGACAATCACACCCAAAGGACGGGCAGTGCTGTACCCGTTATTGCTGATAAGATGAGGTACAAACATGCAGTGTTTCTTCCTTTCCTTGTCTTGGAAGGGACGTTGGCGCTGGAGAGGAGATCAGTGCATTGATCAACGGTCGTTGCCGCGCCGAGACTGAGAAACTTTTACATTGGTCAGTCGGTTGGCGCGGTCGATGCCAACAACTAAGCCGCACACGAACAACCTGTTTCTCGTGCCTTGAGTGTCGTGGTCTGTTGAACTACTGGCTGTGCACCGATACCGCATCGCATGAAATCGGCTTTTTCCTCACCTATGGTGGACACCAAAACACGAAAAACCTCAGGTCGAAGAAGTGGCACGAGGACGTCGGAGAGGACGACCTTCACGAGGACACCGTGTCGCCCGCAGCCAAAGACGGATACGGCATCTGAACTCTGGCCGCTAACAGCCAGCAGGGTTCGGGACCAGGTCACCGGCGACAACAACACCGACTTCCATGATGAAACAAAGCCGGCATCTGACTGGCGTCTATCTACAAATTCGGTGGTCGTGGTCGGTACAGGTCGTGTGTAGGGAATGTCGGTCACAACCTGTCCAGTCTCACAACACTACCGGCTGGGGCTTCGCGAAGGCAAGGGCATGATTGATATAAAATCACGGTTGGTTTCATACCCGCGCTAAGGCGGTGCATTCAAGCAGTTGCCCAACCGTTGTTCATCAAGGCAACCTGAGAAGTGTCGGAAAACACGACTTTATTGGTACGTTTGTAACTCAGCAGCAACATACGAACTGCATCGTCGCTTCACACGAGCAGCAACAACGTCAATTGAGCTCAAGATTCAGCTCCAAGAAGGCTTGACGGGGTTTGGGAGGTTAGGTGGGCCGTCTTGTTTTTCTGTGAGGGATTTTGTCGTATTTCTTCCCTTTTGGTTGTCAGTTCTACTCCCGAGGGTTTTCCTTTGTTGTTTGGTGAAGGCCCCAAGAGGGATGGCATACAAACACGGCACGTGGGGTTGAATGTGTAGTTAGGTGGTACTCCATGTTTTACGCGAACGCCAAGTCACTGTAAGTAAATATATGGCGTTACATTCAACGTACAGCGTTAGAGGAGGCGTCCCGACTCTGTCGTCCGCTGATGTTCGTATATGTATGGCTGCCATCCCTGGCCGTTGCATGTAAGCGGTCGTTAGCATTTGGAAAGGCCGCGTTTGTCTGTGCTCGGCACGGTAAACCTCCCTGTTGTCACGACGAACGAGGCTTTTGTACATCACGGGAGGCATTTTATGCGGGTCGAATAGCGGGAGTGGGAGCACGGAGACAGCTAATGCAAGGGGCCCTCCATGTTGAAACCGTGGAACGCCCCAGCCCCCCCCCCCCCCACC